CATTATCTCGTGTTGATGAGCTGGTGATACAACTCCTAAACGCTTAGCAGTTGGACGATAGTTCTTTAGGTACCTTATGTATGTTTAGACTTTGAGTTGTATTCTTTCAAGTCATTCAGGTGAGGTAATGATGGAAGGTAAAACTCCTTAATGGAGTTAGATGATACTTTAAGATGCCGTCATAGTAACCTGTGATGTACAGGGAAGAAAAGACATGCAAAGCAGAGGGTTGGATTAGCAACCTGCACTATATACCTAGCTTGTCTTAGTCTTCTAATTTAAATATTTACAAATAGTTTTAATCGTTGCTTTTTTGACAATCATTATAGCGTAACATAAACATTGCCTTTTGGATTTTAAGGTAGGGCTGTGGATTTTATGCACCGTAACCGCCCAACTGAGGATTAGCAATAGCATTCTCCGTTCAACATCCCCGTAGCTTTTGATAGGATTATCAGGCAACTAAAAGCTACTCAAAAAGATCTGCATCGATTAATTTCCAACTTTGAAATGATATACAACAAGCTTCAAAAATGGTTTTTATCTATTTTTTGTTACCACAATGTGTCACAGCGAAGCGTGGCAGGGTATAGCAAGTATTTTATAAAAACTGAATCGCATAACTCGCCTAAAAGCGAAAAATAAACTGAATTATTTATATTTTTTTAAATGTGCGACTTTTTCTAACTAATTTAATTATCTAACTACTTACCTATTCTCAATAAAATTCTTTATGCAAAATATTATATAGTATGTAAGATATAATAACACAAAGCGAAAGGAACTTCGTTCCGACCGAGGGTCCATAGACCCCTCACGCCGTTTTATAATAATAGTATGAACTTCACGGCAAGGCATAAATAAGCATTAACTTTTATATGTTAGCCAAGTTTTAGACTACTTTTTTCTACTATAGTAGAGTTAAGGGAAGAAGAGCAAAAATTTCTCTCATGTTTAGAGTAGATACATTGGAAGTTGGATACTGCTATTAATTAAAGAAATTGCTAAATTTTATCAAAATGTTAAAAACCCATAACATACATTTGAAAAAAGAGTACTAATAATAAGAAATGAAATCTTTTGCGAGAATTAATGCTAACTCAGCCCTCTACGGCTTAGTGGTCGATTCGCAAAAATTGTGCGAAATGACCCTTTTTAAAATCAATATTTTTTTAAGTGACCGATTCGTTTAAACTGAATTTATTGGTGTAAACATGCTCTGACACGATATACCTACTCATGATAGTGAAAAAAATTGCGCTATGGCAGAATATTAGAGCATATAGATTTGAAAAAAGGTTTTATTTTGTAACTTGCGTGATTTAATTTCTCACCAAAGTAATTTCTTCGGCTTTTTGATTTACTAAAATCCCTCTGGTAGATTTGTAATGAATTTTTGCAGCTAAATCAGCTTCAGGAGTTGTCTGTCGGAGTCGGCGAGAGTAATGTTGGCCATTTGTCTTGACATAGTTAACGCTTTCGTGGGGGGTAATTGGCATTGGTCTATCACCAGTTGCTTTCCTACCCGCAGGACATCTTCAGGGCTTATTTTCACGACAGGTCCATATCGTATATGGATTCAGACGGCAAAGAATGTTTAAGAGAACTTCTCTTACAAGTGAGGTTCCCCAGGCGTCGGTGCTAGGACCTCTTTTGTGGAATCTATAATATGTACATATGTACTAAAATATATAAGTGTGTTTATCAGTAGTCTGGTTACTATAGCACAGGCTCTGCCTAGTTTGAGATCAGACGGCCGTGTGTGAAATGGTTAAGATATAAAAAAAAAATGCAGTCCCAAGAGCTAGTCTTTCTCTAGAAGTAAATGTCGTCTGTTACGCAGTGGAGTACCCGGAGCTGGCCGACTCAGAGGTAGTTTGTGTCGTCCAAAAGATCAGTTTTTTTTTTTACGTGTGTCTACATGGGTACTTGGACTGTCACCTCACCGGAACCGACTAAAACCATACACTGCGCCTGAAATAGATGGGATCCGATAACAGCTTTTATTAAAACGTCCAGCTTTTCTTTTTTTGGTGACAGATGGCCTAACCTGTCACCTTCAGGCCTGCACGTATGCAGGATGGAAGTCATTTAGCGACTTCCGCCGCATGAGCCGCATGCAGTACTAGGCCTGTTCCCAGGCCTGGCGGATCGGAAGAGTTCTAAACCTCTTCAGGTTCAGCTTAACCCTCTTCTTCTCGAGCATAACTTGCTCGCAGAAATAGGTGGCGGAGTTCCACGCGGTATCGCTCCGTAAAATGACCGTAATCATGGAACCGAGCTAGAGAATCCTCACTCCGAGCTAATCCTCCATAACGGGTCTTACCGCCGCTATAATGGCGTGCCCGGGCCTTGGTTGTAAGTTGAAAGTCTTTCCCTCAACTCCTCCATGAAGACCAAGCAGATTTTGGATTTATGGTCCTCGATTTTTCAAGTGAAAAACTCAAGACGGCATGAGGCGCCGGAAGGCGCACCAGCCATTGAGCGTGTAACGGCTAGTAGCGAGAAACCCTCTCCGATGACTGCAGTGAACACTCGACGTTACGTTGACCAGTGTTGTGCTGAGCCGAGTTCAAACTGCACTGCAGTGGTGACACGCACTAGCCTCGATCTTCGTAGGTATCAGAAAATGAAACAAAGAAGTAGTAGCGATTACGTAATACAAATCCTAAATTTCAAACTTAAGCACTCTATTGAATGAAGGAATTGTTTAAATTGTGTAAGTATGTGCATACTTACTGATACAGTTATTTTTATATTAGGCATATATTATTTCTTTGTTAAAAAGACTTTACCTTAGGGTTATACCGCGACTCACCCCTTATCTTGCCGTGGTTGCAAGAGGGTTTGGTTGCGAAGCGGCGGTGGTTGGGGATATAGCGGTCTTGGCTGCTTATTTCACGCCAAACCGAGACATAACTGAGTACGAGGAATGGCTCGCTCATTTAGCCGTCGTCGTCAATGCCGTCGCCCCCCATATTCTTGTGCTCGGGGACGCTTGGGCCTCAATTCTGCTATTTTATGTTTACGACAAGCCACTGTCATACCACTGACACGCTATTGAGATGCTATCGAGTGGCCATTGGCATCGGTATAAATATCGGTAGTTGAAAATATATTACGTTTTTGAGGCAATGATTTATTTATTTTTATTATAATAAATTATCAAAAGAAATAAATAAATAAAAAATAAATAATAATAAATCATTTCCTCAAAAACTTAATATTTTTTATAAATTATAAGGAAATGATTTATTTATTTTAATTTTTTTTTCATTTTTTTTTTTATAAATTGTTTTAATTTGGTTTATTTATTTTAAAATTTATTAGGTATAATAAAAATAAAGAAATCATTTCCTCAAAAAACGTAATATATTTTCAAATTATAAGGAAAAGATTTATTTATTTTAATATTTTTTTATTTTAATAGTTTATTTCTTTTTTTTAATAATTTCTTTTTAATTATTTCTTTTAATAATTTATTATCATAAAAATAAATAAATCATTTACTCAAAAATTGAGGCCCTGGTCTGAGACCTGGGGTTCCCGGCGCACGAATCTCCTCAGATTCGTGCGCCGGGAACCCCATCTTTCTGCCCAGTTCTCCAGTGCCCTGCCCCTCGGCAGGGCACTGGAGAACTGGGCAGAAAGATTCGTCCTAATTGTCCTAAACCGGGGGGCCGTGGTCACGTTCGTGACGGCGAGGGGCAGCTCGATAGTTTACATCTCGTTCGCGTGCCCCTCGCTAGGGCGTCGTGTCCGGGGCTGGCGCGTCGTTGTGGGGGAGGACACGGGTTCGGATCACAGATATATTCAGCTTGACGTCTCCAGTCAGACCGGCTCCACCTGACAGCATTGGGCACTCAAGCGCTTAGATCAGGAGCTCCTCCTGGCAGCCGCTATCGTACAGGCCTGGGCCCCTGCGCCGGACATGCATGTCGATGTTGATGCTGAGGCACAGTGATTCCGGGAGGCCATGACCAGCGTCTGCGATGCGGCGATGCCTAGAGTTCAGCCCAATACTGCGAGGCGCCGGGTCTATTGGTGGTCGTCGGAGATCGCACGGCTGCGTCAAGCCTGCGTGACCGCGCGCCGCCAGTTGTCCAGGTTCCGCAGAAGGCGTCGCCGTTCCGTAGATGCGGAGACCCGAAAGGCGGTACTTTTAGCGGGATACAGGGTTGCAAAGAGGACCCTTCAGGCAGCAATAAAGCGAGCCAAGAGCGAGGCCCGCCGCGAGTTACTGGAGAAACTGAAGCGGGATCCGTGGGGACGCCCCTACCGTATAGTTAGGGGCAAGATGCGCCTATGGGCCCCGCCGCTGACCCGGTGTCTTGAGCCAGAACTGCTTGAAGGGGTTGTCGGCTCCCTGTTCCCACCGCAAATGCTGGCACACACCCCACCACAGATAGCTCCGCCTCCGGCGCTCAAGGCGCCTAACGTGGATGATGACGACATGCCTGAGGTCAATGGGGCATAACCAAGGGTGCCGGTGCTACGGCTTAAAGCCAAAAACACCGCCCCAGGACCTGATAGCATTCCAGGCTGAGCGTGGGTCCTGGCCTTAGATGACGTAACTATAGAGCCTTGACTGAGAGGGTTCTTCAGCGCATGCCTCGAGCGTTGCCAGTTTCCGAAATTGTGGAAGACGGGGAAACTGGTTCTCATCCGAAAAGAGGGGCGTCCGGCAGACTCACCATCCGCCTACCGGCCCATAGTGTTGCTTGACGAGGTGTGCAAACTCTTCGAAAGAGTGATTGCAAGGCGCCTCGTCAAGCATCTCGTCATAGTGGGGCCGGATTCTCTCTCTCTTGACAAACTATGCGATGTAATAAAAGTTTAAAATAGCCAGTTGGAAAATAAATATATAAGTATACAGTACAGATGCTATCTACAGATATGTAAAGTACTTACAGTTATAACAATTTTACAGATTACTGCATAATTTAGTTAGAGAATAATTTTATTTCTATTCACCAATTAGCATTTAAATTATTTATGATTTAATTTGATTCACTACCACCTTTCTTGGCGTAAAGCTCTTCGAATAATTTTAATCTCTGCGGACACACTTCATACTTCATTTTCATAGTTTTGTCTATGACAAGGCATGCCACTTCATTTTCCGCCATGGTTTCCCATTTCATAGGAATCAAATGATCAAGTTCTGGTGTTGGATTTCTAAAATAAACATAAAAAGTTTTGGTTAATGCCATTTTTAAACCTATAACACATAAAAAATGTATTTGAAAATGTCACTTTATGGAGAACAAATAAATAATATAGTTTATTACAATTTGTTATGTTAGGTGTCAAAGGCGGTTGAATTTTATGAAAGACTAGCTGGTGCCCGCGACTTCGTTAAGACTTCGAAAAGGGCTGCCTTAGTGAGTTCGATTCCCTGACCAGGCAAAATTTTATAGAGTTTTTCTAAGAGAAAAATATCCTAACTTACTCCTAATATAGCCTCCATCATCACTATGACAAGCTCCTTCGCGCTGAATGTTTCCCTTTACTTTTACTCCTTATATAGCCAGCTACTTAGACGTAAAATATTATCAAAATCGGTCCAGCCGTTTTGAGGATTACTCGGAACAAACAGACAGACCGAAAGACAGACAGACAATCAGACAAAAAATATTTAAACTGGTTTTTAGGCATAGGTATCGTGCAAAAAACTAGTTTATCGTATCGTATCGTTTCGTAAAAAAACCTTTTATTTTGACATTACAAACAGAAACTTTAATAATTTAATTTTAATTATTTGTATAGATGTATAGATAATCATTTTTAAGCAATGAATATTTATTTACGAGTATTCGCATTAATTTGTTACCAATATAAAATGTTCCTTAAGATCAAATTTTATACTAACCCGCATTTTGCAAAATTGGTCCACAAAGTTGTCATTCTATCCCGAACCACTGCATCTGTGTCAGTTATAGATCCAGGCAATTCATAATTCTTTATAATATAGCCTCCATCATCACCATGGCAAGCTCCTTCGCGCTGGATGTTTCCCTTTACTTTTAAATAGTTCAATTTACCATCGTATGAAAACTCATAGAAGTACACAGGTCTATTGTACTTCGCAATTAATTTGGCTGACACATACACGCCCCCAAGAAAATCTACGTCAGTAAAGAAATCTATGGCAAAGTTATCTGCGTCATGGTGTGTCTTCTCGCCTTCGAGGTACATCTTTTTCAAAATGATTTCCATGTCTTGTTTTTCCTCCTCATTTAAATCAAACGGAAAGAAATCAACGAAAGAGTTGGATTCTATGAATTTTTCAAGAGTGGCTGCGAAAAAATTGACCATGAGGAGGCCTTCTCGTGTACAGAATCCCGTCATGTATGGAACTTTTATAAATTTTCCTTGTGCGAGTAGTTGATAGGGGGACTCCGTTAAGAATGGTTCCCAATCACCTAACTTTTCTATAGTTGGTACAAAACCAAAATGAATACCACCTCGAAATTCATCTTCAACTATCACAGCCATAGATGCACTGATTAATTCAACTGTTGGCATATCTTTTAGATATTTCAACAATTGCTCGTCGTCTGAAATATCTTTATTTTGTATAGAAGGTATTTTTGAGGCCAGTTTCTTTACATCAGTGTTAATAGCCCAGTGTAGTAAAGGAGATCCTGACTGTGCTATAACTTTATGGAAAAGGCCTTCTGCCATAGGAGACAACATAAGATAGCCAACAGAAGCACCGCCGGCGCTAATACCAAAAATAGTCACATTATTCGGGTTTCCACAGAAATTTGCAATGTTTTTTTGAACCCATTTAAGTGCTTGAACTTGATCCATTAAACCCATATTGCCTGGAGCTTCTTTGCGATCTAAAGACAGGAAACCGAGGATTCCTAGTCTGTAGTTCAAACTAACAATGACAACGTTTTTGTCAATAAGAAACTCAGGCCCATGTTCTTTATCGTCTGTGCCGCTCCCAAAGATAAAGCCGCCTCCATGAAAGAATATCATGACTGGTAGTAATTCGGACTCAGACGATGACAATTTTGGCGTATAGACGTTTAAATACAGGCAATCTTCATCTCCTACAACGGTTTTCATTTCTTTGGAAAATTGTGCACAGATGTTGCAGGTTTTGGTCGCATCGCGAATTCCTTCCCATGAGTTTGGTGGCTGCGGCACCTTGAAATATATAAAAAAGAGAAATAAAATATATATGAAACATAGTAAAAGTAACTCGGTAATTGATAGGGATGCCAATGACCGTATTAATTAATGGAAACACTATGGAATCGAATCCCTTAATAATCTTACATAATATAAATAACAATAATAAAACGGAAATAAAAAGGCAATGGCAGGTAGATAGAGTTAAAATAGTACCCATTGTCATATCTACAACTGGTATAGTACCGAAGACTCTTCAAGATAGCCTCAACACATTGGAAATGCCGAAATCCTCTCTCATACTCTTACAAAAAGCAGTCCTTCTTAATACATGCCGTCTCACACGCAAATTCCTCGCTTCATCCTCATCATCTTAACTTCATATCATCATCCCTTTTTGGCACACTTGGCTAAGGCCCGTGTGTTAGATTTTGTTGCCCCTTTAAAATAAAAGGGAGACCAGACAAGGTATAAAATGACATAATAATAATAATATTCTACCACATACACACAACGCCATCTAGTCCCTAACTAAGCAGAGCTTGTACTATGGGTACTAGACAACTGATATAAATACATATATACTTTTTTTTGTAAATACATACATATTATACATAGAAACACCCAGACCAAATCAAACATCAAATGTTCATGCACACAAATATTTGACTTGAGCGGGAATCGAACCCGCGACCTTTGGAATAGCAGTCCGTTACACAAACCACTACGCCATCCGGTCGCCATATAAATAAGGATAACGTTTCATGGGTAAATCATTTTTTTTGTGTAATATTGTAAAAAAACGGGTTTCTATTTATTATTTATTAGTAAATAAGAAATTTAAGATTGGAAAACTAACCTAACCTATTAAAACAGTTATTCATACTGGACCTAAAAGGGCACGCATGCTCGTTTACGGAATATTAATATACATTTATTTGCACCCTGATATTAGATAAATGACAAATTATTAAAAATTCGACAAATATTGACACACTGCTTGCAAATATGTATGTACGAGGGCGGGTCAATAAGTCCGTGACTTTTTGAATTTCTGACCTCTTTACTGAAAAAGCAACACTACTCCTGTCAACAGGCATCTGTCAGTTGACTCCTGTCAAAATTTGAACTTGCTGCGTCAGTTAGTTTGTGTTTGACAGCTATCTTTATCAGACTACCCAGAAAAAATGGAAAAAGTGAATTTCGTGTGCTTATTAAGCATTATTTTTTGCGAAAAAAGAACCATTACCGAGACCAAGGCTAAGCTTGATAAATACTATGGGGACTCTGCACTCGATTTCAATGGTAAAAAAGGGGTTTACTGAATTTCGTTGTGGCCGTACAAGCACTGAAGATGCCGAACGTCCTGGACGCCCAGTTGAGGTCTCTTCACCCGAAACAATCGAAAAAATTCACGATATGGTGTTGGCCGACCGAAGATTGAAAGTGCAAGAGATTGTGGAAGCCGTAGGGATCTCGCATGGCTCAGTGGTTTCAATTTTGAATGATCACTTGGGCATGAGAAAGCTTTCCGCAAGATGGGTGCCGCGATTGCTCACAGTCGACCACAAACGCAATCGTGTAACAACTTCACAGGAAGGTTTGGCGTTGTTTAAGCGCAATATGGAGGAGTTTTTGCGCCGTTTTGTAACCGTGGACGAAACATGGATCCATCACAACACACCAGAGACCAAACAACAGTCAAAACAGTGGGTTTCTAAGGGTCAATCGGCGCCAAAGAAGGCCAAGATGGGTTTGTCAGCCAATAAAGTTATGGCGACTGTCTTTTGGGATGCACGCGGGATAATCCACATTGACTACCTTCAAAAGGGAAGAACAATCGATTCAATGCCGATTTGAAAAAAAACCGACCTCATTTGGCCAAGAAAAAAGTTATTTTCCACCAAGACAATGCAAGGGTGCACACATGTGCAGTTGCCATGGCAAAAATCCATGAATTGGGCTATGAATTGCTCCCCAAACCTGAAGAAATGGCTTGGTGGAAAAAGATTTGACTCCAATGATGAAGTCATCTCGCAAACAAAGGCCTATTTTGAGGACCTCGACAAATCATATTTTTTGGAAGGGATAAAAAAATTGGAGAAGCGTGGGACAAAGTGTATAGAGCTCAAGGGAGACTACGTTAAAAAGTAAAATGATTTATTTATCAAAAAATCTGTGTTTTATTCCAAAAGTCACGGACTTATTGACCCGCCCTCGTATTTATGTGCACTATTTTGACGACTTTCAAACATAACGGAAAATAAACTTTAATTGAATCTAACAAAGACACACCGAAATATCTAATCTAACATCGCGCAACGAAAGGTCTTGCGTCGATTAGTAAATTTACAACTTATCGCCAATAATCACTGGGCCGCGGTCCGCCAGGCAAAAGCAACTCACCTTGGCCTCAATTCTGCTATTTTATGGTAACGTACAAGCCACTGTCATTCCATTGACACGCTATTCAGATACACTTGACATAGGTCATAATATCGGTATTCTAACAACATAAGGTCACAGTGTCAATAGTGTTCAATAGACTGTCGATGTAGCTGTAGTGACAATGGCTCATCAATTATGATATTAACAATATTGCCATATCTGGCAAATTAAATACATAAATTCGATGCCAAATTTTAAATGCACCGTTTACCAAACTATTACAAAGACATCGGCGACTTTTGTATCAGTGTTAAGTCATCGGGAGACTATTTGCCTTACATAGGTAGTAGAATACGAAATGAACAGTCAATTGATACAATATTAAAATAGCAGAATAGCAGCAGCCGTGGTCGGAACACTTCACACATTCACACCATATACCTAACTCTAAATATTATATGTCAATGTAAATTTGTAGGGATTTAAAATAGCTGCAAATGGTGTTTAAAATTAATATTTCATAAATTCTCTCTCTATGCGTGTTGTGTATGTCAGTAAAATATTCACGACGGCAGTAACATATATGCGTATATGCGAGTATTATACGAAACTGTTTGCACGTGTTTCTATTAGTTGTGACCATTTGCTCATAACTTGAACTAATGAGCCCAATCAACATTGCTCTTCTTAATCTCTTGAAAAGTTTACGCCATCCAACTTTTTACGGGATAAGGAAGTTGTGACTTCCTATCCAGGCATATAAGCGCGATACAAGAATAATTGTGAACTAAAGCATTTAGATGGTATACAAATATAATATAATAAATTGTATAAGTGAATTAGAGTTTTTAAAAAAAACACACGACTTCAACATACCTTTCTAAGTTACGTAATTAAAATATAAGTATTAGAGGGAGAAAATATTTACAGTAACTGCATTGTAACGGGCTTCTGCGTCCCCGAGGAGCCGGAGATGCGGAGGGATCTCGTAAGGAGGGATTTTCCACCCCGTCAAAAAAAAAGGATGGTATGTATTGTCTGACGTCATTTTATTATGTAAACCGATGATTTTCTCCCACCGATAAACATCAACTCCGGTTTATCTTCATGTTACTAATGAGAGATATAGTAGACGTACTAGTTTTATGTGTTTTTTATTAATTTTTAGCCACTAATTTGAGGTATGTATATATATTATATATATATATATATATATATATATACATATATATATATATATATATATATATATATATATATATATATATATATATATATATATACATATATATATATATATATATATATATATACATATATATATATATATATATATATATATATATATATATATATATATATATAATAAATATATATATCTATATGTATTAGATATAAGCACCCATTAAACGATCTACTAGAAGGTCACCATTAGGTTGGTTGCAATCATTAGTAAATTACGTTTTTTTATTGATAAGGTCTACAATATCTAATTGAATTTACCTTTACAATTATAAATTTAAAAAACAATTTGAATTCTATACAAGGTTAAGTGGAAGGATATCAAGGGAAAGTAAAACGGTAAAGGTTTTTTGTTTCGTTATTTAATGTCTGTGGAATGAAAAAAAGATTAGCTCTTTTGTGCTGTTAATACGGCAGCTTCGGCATATATACCTAATGGGTCGGCTTGACCAGCTCCCAAGCAGGCATGGCTCTCCCAAGACGATAATTCACATTTTGGCATTAGCTTACAGTATCTGAACCTTTACTGTTATAGAATTATAAATTAAGTTTAAGCCTAAGTACAATAATTAACATTCATAAGTTTGTTGACTGTAGTCATGACAGCAACTAAATAATTTATGAAAAGTCACATGCAATAGAGATATTGATCTCTATAAACATGACAGTACGCCTACCATTTTTGTATTATTAAATCCAAATAAATTACTTCTAAATTGAAATGAATGTACGTCACAAGGTAAAGAAGTATACCCATTTCTCATAGGTACATCGTTTGGCCCAAATCATGATAAATCGTTACAAGTTCCAAACTAGCGCCATTAATTAGGTAAAAATATGTAAAGCAAGTAAAGTAGTCACGTTGTTGAAAAAATTACTAGATAGCCAGAAATGCAACACAAAAACCGAAAACCAGAAAAGAAATTCAATTGCACGTTTGTGTAAAGACTTATACTTTCTCTTTTTATTAATATGAACTTGAAAGAAATAAGTACAAAAAATTTCATTTAGCAACTGTAAATAAAAACTCTTGATTCAAAGGCGCGCGATAAGATAAACAGAGAAAGGGAAAGCAATTGATAAGGTTTTTGTCGCAATTTAGGTTTTTTGATAAAGTAATTATTTTAATTAATTAAGATGGAACTTTAACAAGAAAAATGTAATACTTACAGAAAATCGGAGTTCACCAATAGGGGGTTTTGCATAAGGAACACCCTTGAAGGCATAGTATGTAAAACCATTGTCATCATTTCTCGTCAACTGACCTCTTAACTTTCCCTGTTCAGTTTCAACTATCGGTTCCGACATTTTAGTGGATAGTTATGAGTGTCAGTATTAAATTGAACACGGCTATCATTAACAACACACTACGACACTATACTTCAATGTGCTTAAAGTTACCCATTTAAAAAATAAAAACATGCAGCGAAATATCATTTAAAACGTAGACAGTGGTACAATTTCTGTAAAGCTGGACTTTGGACTTGTATTAGTTTAGATATGATAGGCAAGATGGCGCTGTTACTAATATTTTTCTCATTGAATTTACTTATTATTTTTCTCTGCACCAATTTGTCAATCTAATATCTAAATATTGAATTTTAGTATTTTTTATCTTTTAACCTTGCTACTTTAATTATATATTACTCTCTTAGTATATTATGTAGAGATGTAAATGTACACATAAATATACTAGTAGAGCCATCTAGTAAAATAATTAGAAAAATTATAACTATTTATTTTCTGTTTCTTAGTAAAAAGTCTTTAAATTCCTATACTTAGTTTTCAAGTTGTTTACATCTTTTTACAAGAATATAATAATACCAATCAAGAACATGTAACATAAATATTTTACCCTCTTAAAACAAAGAATGTTTGTATAGTGTTTGGCATGATGTGGTCTCCTGGCTCCTGTTTAATAAACGTTACAATCCGACAATTTATTTTAAATAAGTGACATATTTGTAAAGTTATACGACAAGTGCTGTTTAATAAGCCTTACAGTTATGTAAGAATTTTACAAGCAAAAACATTACAAATATTACCATTATAAATGTTAATAAATGTTTACATGTGCAAAAAACGCCTGTTGATTTTGATGACAATATTGTATATGCTTTAATAATTTGTTACAAATTACATAAAATGTAAGTATTTGTTGAAGATTCTTAAATTGAGTGTAGATTTCAGAAATCTTAGAATTTAGTTTAAATCCGACACATCATAAGTAAAGTTTATCCTTTTACGAAAAACTCGTTGCCGTTCAGTCAGATATTCATCATCATTACTATCACAACTTCCACTAGTTGTTATAACTAGTCGCTAGTCGCAATCGCAATAAATATTTTTATCTTTTTAATAAATACAATAATAATAATAATAATATCTTTATTTGCATTAAGTTGTACAATAAACCACTTACAATTAAAACTAAATAGGATCACAATATTACACGGTAAGCAGTATGTTGTGACACTGATACCCAAGGTAAGATTTAACTTGTGTTATGGGTATCAGGTCTCTCACATTTGGAATACAATCAATCAGATGTAGCGTGGTTACAATTGACAGACACTATGTCTATTACATGCAACAATTAAAAAAGAACATGCGTGTGTGAGAGTGAGTATGCATGCGTGCGTGTGTGTGTGTGTGTGTGTGATTGACTCACGTATGTGTGTGTGTGTGTGTGCGCGTTATTCCCGTTCGTGTAAATAGTTTTTGATGTTATAGCCTAAAGGGTTGATAGGATTATTAGGTTCTCTGTCTCTGTATAAGTCAATGTGTAAAGCCACTCATAGACTTTCACCTTGCATCTATATTTGGTGAGGTGGTAGATATCACATAGCTTATTTACTTTATTGTATAGAAAGTTGCCAAGAATGTGGAAATGACGCCGAGCAGCAGCAGTCTTTGATTTGTGTGTGGGACAAACTTTATAGTATCGACGGCCTCTGATAACATTTGTATCACACTGAAGATGGCTATGTTTACGGAGTATAGTATGGAGTATAAAGAGCTGTCTCACCGTCAAAATCCTACACTCTGAGTATAACAAGGTAGTCGAGTACCTGAAAGTTCTGAAGGTCATCACCTTAAGGATAGCTCTCTGTGCTCGTTCAAGTTTCAGGAGATGCGTTTTCGGTGCACCACCCCACACAGTAATGCAATACGTGAGTACTGATTGACCCAATGCAAAGTACACGGTCCTAAGTGTATCTGGAACTGCGGAGTGCCTTAACTTTTTAAAGAGAAAGATAAGCTTCCGCATTCTCAAAGTGAGATTGTCAAGATGTTGCTTCCAATTTAATGAATTGTCAATGAGGATACCGAGGTATTTTACTACAGTAGTTCTTGTAAGATATGGACAATCACAACTAGAGTTCCCAGGACACATGTTAATGTGGGCCCTGAGAGCCAGAGTATCTAAGAAATGTAGTGCAGAAGGCTTCAGACAAAACGGAATGTAAGTAGTTTTATGCAGGTTAATTGTTAACGTATTTACGTACAGCCAAGTCATCACTGTCTCAATGGCTTTTTCAGCGTACGTATACGTCTCTGTCCAGTTATTACCATGTAAAATTAAGGCTGTATCATCCGCGTAAGTATATATGCAACAGTTTGGTACTCTGAGCTTGCAGAGGCTATTAATGTAAATTAAAAACAGCGTCGGCCCCAAAATTGAACCTTGTGGGACCCCAAAAGACAGGGATTTAGTGTCACTTAATAGTCCATTTATGGTAACACGTTGGGTTCTGTCATTTAAATAGTCCCGGAACAATTTATGAGTCAGATCACGAATACAATGCGGCATCGGTTGTTGTTGCGAACATTGGGGGAGGCCTATATCCAGCATCCTTGATCGGAGACGACGGGGTGAACTAGGAGGACAGTGTTCAACCCGTCACAGATTCGGAGAAAGGGTTGGCTGTTCTACGGATCCGTTCCAAGGAAACCGCCCCCGGACCAGACGGTATCCCTGTCCGAGTGCTGGCCCTGGCCCTCAATCACATGTCAGACTGCCTAGGGGGGGTGCTTGACGCTAGTTTGGCCGCCGGACGTTTCCCTAAGTACTGGAAGAGCGAAAAGTTGGTGCTCTTGAGGAAATCAGGACGGCCTAGCGATTCGGTCGCGGCCTACAGGCCCATCGTACTGCTGTACGAGGCGGGTAAATTGTTTGAGAGGGTTCTCTCTGCGCGCATCGTTCGGCACTTGCACGACGTCAACCCTGATTTGTCGGACGCCCAATTCGGCTTCCGAGCCGGGCGTTCGACTGTCGGTGCTGTGTTACGCTTGAGGGCCGTGACCGAAGAGGCGGTGAGCTGTAGCGGCGTGCTATTGGCAGTGTCGTTGGACATCGTCAACGCATTCAACAGTCTGCCATTTAGCTGCCAGGGTACCTAAGGCGGCTAATGGCAGACTACCATCAGATACGAGGACCGAGATGGTGTTTTAAGGAATCGGACCATGTGCGGTGTTCCGCAGGGGTCTGTCCTTGGACCACTCTTGAGGCACATACGGTATCACTGGGCCCTTGGAGCTGATTTTCCACCAGGGCTGGGTGTAATTTGTCACGCCGATGACACTTTGGTCACGGCCCGGCGGTGAACTTTCAAGAGGCGGCCCATCTAGCCACCAGGGGAGTCTCTCTGGTGGTCTGGAGCCCTAGATAAGACGAAGGCCCTCTTGTTCCTTGGGCCCCGTCGTGGTCCTCCCCATGGCGCCTCAATCGTGGTCAACTCGGTCTTCGTACCGGTTCAGGCTCAGATGAAGAAGCTGGGCCTAATTATCGACAGTAGGCGGCTCTTTGTCGAGCACTTCCAACAGCTTGCTCCAAATCTGAGTAGGTAGACGAGACGGCTGTACACAGGGGTTGTCCGGTCAATGGCACTGTATGGTGCACCGGTGTTTGTGGCGGCTCTGACCGCTTAGAATAGGGCATGCCTCCGGCACTCTTAGAGGATATTGGCGGTTAAAACCATACGCAACTACCGCACAGTGTCGACGGAGGCGGCATGCGCATTGGCCGGGACTCCTCGGTGGAAATGGGAGGCGGAAGTGCTCACCGAAATATATCGGTGGACGACTGAGTTCCGGGCGGTTAGCGGCTGTAGTCTCCGCCCGAAGAAGTACGCGAGTAGCGTGAGGCCGCTCGTCAAGCCGCTATGGCTCGTTGATCGTCCCGGCTAGGGGCTCCATGGGGCCACCTTGAAGGCACTCCAGCCGGTCATCGTCGAGTGGGCAGGGCGGCAGCACGAGACCCTTTAATTCCGACTCACATAGGTTCTTTCCGGGCATGGCTACTTCGGGAAGTACTTGCACTCGGTCGCTAGGAGGGAATTGAGTCCCGCCTGTTACCAAGCTAAGCTACCAAGTTAAGGACTCGGGTCAGCACACGCTGGCAAATTGCCCGGCTTGGGCGTCGCAGCGTCGAGTCCTCATTGCAGTCATTGCCATGAATGGGAGCGCTGGTGGGTGGGACGGCTTTTCCCCTACACCCGCCATAACGTCCAGCCGCGAGGAGGCGACGCGGCGACACGTCCGCATGTGTCGAACGCCACCTAAATAGGGAATGTACCCGAAGGGGGTGCCCGCGCCGTTGCGGGCAGGCGCTAGGAGGGGTCCGGATGTCTTAATAACAGCAGTTCCCAGGTCCCTCCTATTACAGGCGCAGAGTGGCACACCGTGTGGTTTTAGTCGGTCCGATTCTGACACATCGCCCCGCCGCAAACCCCGGTGGGGTGACGGACCGAGGGGGTTTCCACACTTTAAAAAACAACGCCTATATCCATCAGTGAACGTTTTACAACTGAGATGCTGATTATGATGAATAAATACAATATCTTGGCCATTTCACAGCACATAAACAAATAAGAATAATCTACTAGATAATCCTTATTGCATAAAGGCTCACTAAGGCCCATACTTACACAACATAGATGCCGTGCCCGATTGCCAAGTCATTATAATAATATTATAACCTCACACATCCCACACACGGCCGTCTAATCCCAAACTAGGCAGAGCCTGTGCTGTGGTAACCAGACTGCTGATAATCATACTTAAATAGTTTTAAATACATTCATATTATAGTAAATTACACCCAGACACAGAACAAATGACCCTGCTCATCACACAATATTTGTCCGGGTCTGGGTTACTAACCATTAGACTAACAGGCACGTCATTCTTTTTTTCTTATGGTATAGTATAGTGAGGCAAACGAATGGACCTACGGCACCTAATAGTAAGTGAGTGTCCCCGACCACAGACACCTGCAATTAAGTCACAAGTGCGTTGTCGTCCTTTGTCCCTGCCCCAGAATTAGCAACAAAAAAACTGCTTTACACGGGTTTTCTGTGAGGCCGTGGTATCAGTCCGGTAGAGCTGGCCCATTTGAGCCGAAGCATGCCAATCTGACATCAGAAGGCCAATGAAGGCCATTTCTTGTAATAAGAGTTCGGTCTCAATTCAGTTCCGATCAACTTTCGATCTCACAACTGTAATTTAAGGTATTTTCGTAGTAAAGTATTAAACATCATACGTTGACTGAAATGTGATTATTTTGTATTGTTACCGAAAATTGAATCGGTAATCTTAATAATACTTTACTACGAAAATACATTTTATGGCACGACAAATTTTTCTTACAACGAGATCGAAAGTTGATCGGAACTGAATTGAGACTTAACTTTTATTACGTGAATTGGCCTTCAGTTTGCATTCGACATTGAAAGATATTAGGGCAATATTGTGTGAAATAAATTACAACGAAATTATAAAAAAAAAAAAAAATTACATTGAATTACATCACAAGGGTTTTATGGGTTTTTAGTTGAAAATAGAAGACTTTAAGAATGTCATGTTACTGCTATATTTAACTGCAAACCAAGCGGGGTGACCGTTTGATTTGTAGTAGTAGTTCTATGCAGCACCACATTTCTTTTCGTAAAGTTCTTCATATAGTTTCATTCTTTGTGGGTACACATTATACTTCATTTTTAACGTTTTATCTATAACAAGGCAGGCTATGCCTCTATCGGTAACTGGTTCCCATTTTGTGGTAATTTGTTGGTCATCAGTTGGTGTTGGATTTCTGAAAAAAGAACAATCCTTTAACATATTTCAAGTAACGGAGCGCGGTATTGAGGGCTGATTGACTATCGCAAGTGAAGTGGCTTTGAAATTTTCTTACAGAAACCTGTCCTGTTTCTGGCTTTCAGGCTAATATGCGATATTTTTTAACCTATTTATTATTGATTTGCGTTTATGAACTGGTAGTAGTTCATCAAATCATATTATGTACCTAGATATGTTTAACTCATCTACTACTATAGCTGACAGTAGAAATACTAACCCATATTTAGCAAAATTAGTCCATAAAGTGGTCATTGTATCTAATACCAGAGCATCAGTATCAGTAATTTGTGCATTGTTACACTTCAACAAATAGCCTCTCTCATCGCCATGACAAGCTCCCTCTCTTTTGATGTTAAATTTTGCTTTGACCGCATTCAAATTTCCATCGTAAGAAAATTCATAAAAATATACAGGTGTATTGTATTTGGCAATTAAATTAGTCGACACATATGCACCGGCTAGAAAATCAACATCTGAAAAGAAGTCTATAGCATAAGAATCTGCATCATGATGTGACTTTTCGCCTTCGAGATAGTTAGTTTGCATTGTTTTTTCTACGTCTGGCATTTCTATTTCTTCTAAATCAAACGGAAGGTAATCAACAAATTTTTTGGACTTTATAAATTTATTAAAGGTCACAGCACCAAAAGTTGTCATGAGAGTCCCTTCTCGTGTACAAAAACCAGCGATGTAAGGAACTTTATTAAATTCTCCCCTTGCATACATTTGGTACGGAGATTTAGATAAGAAAGGTACCCAGTCATCAGGCTTTTCTATAGTTGGCACAAAGCCGAAGTTAATACCTCCTCGAAATTGATCTGCAGCTAACACCTTTGAGGATGCACTAATTAATTCATTCGTTGGCAAACTTTTAAAGTATGTTAACAATTGCTCATCGTCTGTTATAGTTTTACCAAGCAAAGACGGTATTTTCCAAGCCAGATTCTTTATTTTAGTGTTGAGAGCCCAATGTTGTAATGGAGATCCTGACTGTGCTATAGCTTTATGGAAAAGCCCTTTGGCCAATTCTGACAACATTAGAAAACCGACTGAGGCACCTCCAGCGCTTACTCCAAAAATAGTTACATTATTTGGGTCTCCACCAAAGTTTGAAATGTTATTTTGGATCCATTTAAGTGCTTGAACTTGATCCCGCAAACCCATATTACCTGGAGCTTCTTTACGATCTAAAGATAGGAAACCGAGGATGCCGAGTCGATAGTTCAAACTAACAATAACTACTTCTCTATCGATGAGGAAATCAGGACCGTGCGCTGAAACATCTGTACCGTCTCCAGCAATAAATCCTCCTCCATGGAATAAGACCATCACCGGGAGTAATGTAGAACCAGTCAAAGGCAACTTTGGTGTGTAAACGTTCAAATACAAGCAATCCTCATTTCCTACAACGGTTAAGGTTTTATTACAAATTTGTGGACATATGTTGCAGGTTTTGGTCGCATCTCGAATTCCTTCCCATGGTTCTGGTGGCTGCGTTACCTTTAAATAAGTAAATAAAGAATGTTCGTCAATAATATAAATGTCCATTACGGATTTAAATTAAAGTTCAGACACACATACAAATTTTTTTTACAAGAGGATGAGAACACCTTAATAAATACGAGGTAAGTGAGAGGAAGAACCTTGTGAATATTCTACCTACGTATACGTATTCTTAACGTATGTCGAGCCGCTGCCCATGCAAGCCGGATTGTAGCCGCTTAATATAAAACATACGTTCAGGCAAACTATTAAGTAATTTACAGTACATCTGCTTAAACCAAAACCCACAAAAACAAAAAAAGTTGACAAAAATGTAAGAGCGACATTACATTTTCAAAGGAGCAGAGCCAAAAAGTAAATCTTATAAACGAATATGTATCACCTTTTATGTATGACTTTTAAAGTTAATTTATATATATATGTAGCTTTGTAGTGTGTGTGTGTGTGTGTGTGTGTGTGTGTGTGTGTGTGTGTGTGTGTGTGTGTGTGTGTGTGTGTGTAGTACAGAAATATGGTAAAATTGTTAATATTCAAGTAAATATAACGAAATACACCATAAAGTCTCAATAAAATAATTTATATACTTACAGAAAATCTGAGTTCACCAACAGGTGGTTTCGCATAAGGGATACTCTTGAAAGTATAATACAAGAAACCCTTGTAGTTTCTTGATACCTGGCCTTTTAACTTTCCCTGTCTAGTTTCCACTATCGGTTCCGACATTGCTGCAATGTACTACTGACAGATGTCACAACTTAGACGTTCAAGCGGAATACACTTAATTACAGCCGAGCAATACATAATAAGTGAACATAATAAGTGTAGATAATGCAATGTCTGTACCATTTGCTGTCGCTATCGTTCACGCCTTTATTACAGTCGTGATCGTGACCTAATGCAATATGATGTGATAACAAGCGATGTCAAAAGTAATCAATAGATGGAGTAAATATCACTTTTTAAATAAAAATAAGTTTTTTTATTACTAATGTTAAGTAGCTACATATTAATATTTTATGGTAACTATTTCAAATCAATACACGATTAATCAACACTGTGCCTAATTGAAATATATACCTGTATTCAATACTGTTGGTTTAAACTTTAAATTGTGTTTTTTTTTAAATACGTGTAGTAAATAGTAGTTATTGTAACATAGAAACTGATTATACGATATACCTACTAGTGATAGTACCTTTTTTGGGTATTACATTGTTTTATTGATAACTTCACATAATATCATATCTCGCACGTATTCTGTAGGTCTTAGGTATGCCAGTTAGATATTTCACTTTGTCGCAGTGGCGTATTTTAAGATTCAGCTCCCCGAGCTTGTAGGGTTTTCCGCCCCATAAACTAACGGAAAAAGAGCAAAAGATTTAATAGAAGACAAATCCAGCAGTATGTTGACGAGGACTGAGAATGAGAAAAAATTAAAAAAAGCTATACAAAGGAAAGAGAAAGAAACAAGACGATGAGCGATGCGAATCGTTGACAGCCAGAAGATTTCCGATCCGTTCGATCCCTTGGCGTTATGTCATAATATGTGTATTAACGACCGTGGATAATTAAATATATTTTAGTATATTTTACCTATATAGCCGTATCTCGTGGTCCCATTTTATTTCAAATATTAAATAAAAGGTTGAATAAATCATATAAAAACCGGTCAGGTACTAGTCGAACTCAGTTTGCAGTGCTGCGGTAAAGTCCCCAATGAGTCGGGGCAGTTGCTGCATAGTGACTTGCTGCTGCGTAGATAGGAGAGACATGCTCTTCTTACGTGAACCGTAGGTGTAGTGTGCTGTGCCTAGACGCCGATGAGGCCGTAGGCTTAACCAGGCTGAAGTGTCCGCTATTAGCAGGTGGTATCCCTGTTGTGTGCGAAGTTGCTGGCTGGCTGAACTTGATTACTGCTCATCGCTATGGGAGTGTACACGATGGTGATGGTGTTGCTGATGATTTGCTCCTTTGAGGGCGGCTTCCAATCACGTCAGGTTCACCACTATGGTGGAACGGATGTCGTGTCCCTCCAACATAAAGGGAGGATCCTTCGACAAGGCAAGGCGATCATACCTGGCAGGCCGCGGCCCAGCGGTTGATGTTGGGAAATATTATATATGCTAATCAGCGTGAGAATTCCTTATATCGCGATCGCAAGTCTCATTCAGGAGTTACTCCGTAGTTCGGTGAGTCTTCGTTAGATGGCGCTGTAGTATATTTCTGTGCCTTTGTATGTGATAGTCGCCACAAATTCATCAAGTTTTGGAATTGGATTTATGAAAATAAACCATTAATATAACGTAAAATATATTGTACGTGTATAATTTCGTGTAATTTGGAAATGCTCAAGTAATTTCGAACCTGATAGGATCCTTTGTTATTAAGGGTGCCACCGTTCGGTGTGCATTACAATTCCTGTCATAAATAACTCAACTATTTGAATAAATAACTCAACTATTTGACAAAACAGAGATGGTTGCTTTTGTGTGTGTTGATCTATTTATCTACTTTAGAGTCTACATAAAAGAAGATTTCAAACAATTTTGAAAATTTTATGAAATACAGAGAGTTTGAGTTTTGAGTTTCAGCAATAAATAGTACAACTGCAAACGCAATAAACACATTTCAATATGGCGCTGCGAAATTAAGTAATACCATTATTGAAATGTTAAATATAATATATCTAATGGATTCTTAGAAAACGTTGCCAGTGGCTAACAGTGCGACGCCGTCGACGACGAAGGAACATAATCTCGGACTGAGCACAGTTATTGTCGATGTTGGTTGCTCCCAAGCTTCCACTGGCTGTGGTATCTTTAGAAATAAACAAAATTTATAAAAGCTTCGTTACTTAACTCTCGTTATATTACAATTTCAGAGGACTGGAAAAAACAGAGACAATTATTATTATTTCCCTAACATCAAATTAAAGACTCAGACCCGATGGTCCAATTGCCAACCATACTTCCTTCTAAACAACCTTCGTACAAAACGGTTATGATGACAGTACTTAGAAGATGACATGTAATGTTGAAAAGACATCGTGGTGCTTAGTCTCTATGTAAAAAATCTTGGATACCAGTAACTAGTGCACGACGGTCACAGTTAAAATTCAGTTTACTCTTCAACATGGTATATTTTTACATTTAAGATTCTCGTAACTACTAATTTAATTAATACAAATAAAATCTAAAACTTACAGAAAATATTATTTCACCGATGAGACGACGGGGCTCGGGAGCTTTGCATAAGGTATTCCCATAAAACTAATATTTTGAAAGCCATTTTTAATTTTGAACACCTTGCCCTATTATTGCCAGATATTTTTTTTAAATTAAAAAAATTAAAATCAAAACAATCGGTATCATTTTTAATGGTTATTTCATTGACAACGATTACGGCTAAAAATAGTTTTTTGTTTGTTTTAAATAAGTAGCCTTGCCATGCTTTTTCACATGCGATTTTACATTTACATTACATGGGAATCAACTTAATATTTTATAAAATATAACAAGGTTTTATTTTAGATTAGTTTTTGTCTGCTATTTAGATCCCGTGAAAGTATTTCTTCCCAGAGTCTTTCTAAAAAAAAAGAGTTCCTTTTTTTCGATGAAAGCTATCCTATGCCTAAACAGGTATACAACAAGCTGTATTCCGGACAATCGCGTCATGCTAAATTTTTATAATTATCGTATGAACTTTACGGCAAGGCATAAATAAGCATTAACTTTTATACATATATTAGACTAATTTTTCGGTTTTAATCCGTCAACGAATATACTGGAGTTAAGGAAAGAAGAGCAGTTTTCTCTTATGTTTAGAGCAGATACATACTGTTATGAATTGAAAAAAAAATGTAAAACTTATCAAAATGTTAAAAACCTATAAACATACATATATGAAAATAGTTTTTTTTTTAATATTATAATAGGTATAGGTAAAATATACTTAAATTAGGCAAGTACTATCTTTATCTACCTATCTACGGTCGTGATCGTTTTTGTGACAACCCTTGCACATTTTTATTCAAGGCAGTCTTGTAGGTATTCAGTGGTCTATCAAAGGAGTTGACTTACTATTAGTATTTGTAACACATATGGTACTTACATCATTAAAGGAAAGAATTAAAAGTTAAGAAAATGCTTATTGCAGTCCAATCAATAACATTAGGTACAATATAATCATGGATAAGGGTATCAAGAACAAACAAGTACAAGTACTCGTGTACCTAATACATGCATTATTTTGTAATACCTGTTTCTTTGCAATAAAACTGTACGTGTTGCGATATTCTGATAAGAAACTAAACATATTTAATTCAATGATTCAGATAGTCCTTGTAATTATAGTTGTTTTTAAAAGTGACAATTACGTTTCACTAAATTGATTCGAATCCCGCGCAGACCGAGATAGCCGGATGCGCACCTGTGTTCCGTCGTGATGTCGTGAGAACCGACCACGATCTGTGACGCAAACTTAACGAAGGTTCGTATCTCGACGTTTTCAAAGCATTTTGAGCATTTTTTACTGAAGCATAGGATGCAATGTAAGTTTAGTAATAGCAAAAGTATAATTGCAAGACTCATATAAGGCTATACAAAGTTCCCGGTTATGCTATGTTTGTTGTGTTATTTTGTACGCTTTTAACATCCGTGCTATTATCGCAACTTTTTACTGTAGACCAACCATGATTTAGGCACTAACATTTGTTTTTATACACATACATGTCAAAAGTACATATTTGTGAATTTGAAAATAATGAAATAGTTTTCCTTCTCTCTGCAGTGCTGTTGTCCTGCGTAGTTTGCTCCCTTAGTGGCCTCTTACGACACCCACGGCATGGATAGGGGTGGTGACACTCTGTATCACGGACAAATGTATTACAGTGCAACAGGACTGACTGACTGCAAATATGATGGTAAATTAGGTAATTACCAGTTGATGTCCTTGTCTGTCTATAAAAGAAACTAACCAAAAAAAAATTGGAATATTCACAAATGTGGAAATGTTTGGCAAAAGGGCGATCAAGTAAGTCTGTTGCTTTGATCAACTTTTTATTTTGTACTAAAATGGAAAATTAAGGAATGAAGAATACAGTGTTTCACAACTTATGACGCAAGGAAGTCGCAAGGAAGGCGCCTTTAATTAATTTTGGTACTTTAACAGCGTAGTCACCCTACCAAAACACACGTGAATAGTTTGCGAAATGCTGTTTAGTTCGCCGTGTGAACCCGATCACGATCTTTTTACATTTTTCCATAGCGGCAAAAAACAATTGAATAAGCTGTGGGTACCGAAATTCCATTCGGCCAATTTTGTCTATTTGTATGTCAGCACAATTAAGATTCGTGTTTGGCGGCTTCTTTGAGTTTTTACGATATAAACAATGCAATACTAACTTTAAATATTCGTTAAATATACGAGTATATGTATATTCACGTTTTGCTAAAATATGTTATATGAAATGAGCAGGTAGCAAACCTACACACACGGTAGTTTATGCTAAGAATAAAGGGGAAGGGTTTGACTTTTGGTTGAACATGCTAGTCTTAGGAACAACCAGACAGTGTTGAAGTAGGTACTACATAAATACAGGGGTAAGACTGATCGTCCACGACATTATCGCAGCGGTAAGACCCGTCATGGATAATTGGCTGACTGGGGGAGCCAAAGCCTGAGTGACACCACTGCCATGGCCAGACCGTGGACACGCCGCTCCACACGCTGGCAGAATGCCCGGCGTGGGTGAAACAGAGGCGTTACCTCGTGGCAGCCATCGGGGTGGGAGTTCTCTCGCTCGGTAACATGGTTGCGGCCATGGTGCTGAGCGAGCTTTTGCGAGCAAGTTATGCTTGCGAAGGAGATGGCGGCCCGGGCAGGCCGGGGTGGCGGCGCGCCAGAGCGCGCATACCCTTTTTTTAACATAAAGGAAACATGGGGGTCCTCACATAGGAGGGGGTCATCTACCTAGGGTACACCTGATTTCAAGGCTACTGGTACCCCAAGACGACGTGCTGTTTTTAGTCGGTTCGAGTCGGACATGGCCACCGGTTGGGTGGTATACGAGGGGATTTCGCCACATAAACAAAAAGGGTAAGACTAAAGCCAATATAATTATTAAAAATGTAAGTAGTAAAGATTCTTGAAAGTTGATAAGAAGAAAAGGCAATGGAAGGAAAAGATTATTGCTTAATATTTGTTTCGGAGTTTGGGTGTTTCCTATGTATTATATGTATCTATTTACAAAAAAAAAGTGTGTAAGTATTCTATCAGTCAGTCTAGCTTTCATAGTACAAGCTCTACTTAGGTTGAAACTAGATGGCGTTGTGTGTCAGCTGTCCGAAATATTGAGTTTATTTATTTATTGTACGGATTGACTAGAGAGGGTCAGGAACCTGTAACTTTGAACTGTGAAACTTTGAAATGAAAAGTAGAAGGAACGAGTGGTATTAATTATTATAGAGTTAATACTATCGCTATCGGGAAGCCGTTGGATGCGGGCAGCACAAGACCGGTTGTTGTTGAGAGCTTTAGGGAAGGCCTACGTCCAGCAGTGGACCTCTTCCAGCTGAGATGATGACTTCATCCAGAGATGTAACAAAATTGTTTAGTAAAAGTATTTAAATGCAAAATGTAAATGCTTGGTTATTTTATTATTTCTAATAAAAATACAAAATGGTTACAAATAAAAGTACCTATTTAAATACCTACAACAAAATACGTATTTTCGAAATAAAATACCTTCACTGATTTTAACACTAACACAATAGTATTTGTGACATAGAAACCGTAATAATAAGACACGTCTTACAACACGTGTCCTATTATTACGATTTCTGTGTTCAAAAAGTTCAACTTTAATTTTCCGTCTATGACGCCTCATAATCATTCCATCGTCAACAAAATAGTCGTTCAACAGGCGCAGAACTTGGTAAGCAGGTATTATATTTAAGGAAGAGTTTATTTTACATTTGGATATCTGTTCTAGGATTCAGGTGTAATGTAGATACTAATAATACTACTAATATGGTCAGTGTGGAGTAATTAATTTCACTATTATTATCATAAGACAATACTACGAGACATCTTTATATACCTGCCAACCACGGCCACCCGGGACGAACGTACGGCCCGAGCGACGCGGCGGCGGTCACTTTACCCAAACATTTAATGATATGCTGCAAAAGGCAATTTTATCTATGTAGATTAAATTCACAACGTATCTAATGTCATCATCATCATCATCAACAGCCTTTACTAGTCCACTGCTGGACATAGGCCTCTCCTTTCCTCTAATGTATACATAAATAATAATAAAAAATCTCTATTTTGATAAGGAATAATACTAGCACTGTTCAAAATAAATGATAACCCACCACTTATCCTTAGGGGATAGACATATACAATAGCAGAGTTTTATGTAGATCTTTTTAAGATAGACAATTCCGTAGTAGGTACATTATTTTGATCTATGTCGTAAGGTTTAGCCAGCGTTTGCAATGTAAGCGCACAAAACATGTTTTTTACGACTTAACATTACAAATCTTTGAAATTCTCGGATTTCCTCTCCTATAACATGCATGTATTAAACATATAGACCTTCCTCTTGAATCACTCTCTCTCTTGGTGAAACCCGTATTAAAATCCATTGCGTACTTTAAAATATCTGAATAATAAATCACAGTTCACTGTGATTTTGTCCCATGTCTAATATTGGTATTTTGAAATAATAAGTATGTCTGTGGTTACTGGTTACTTGTGCCAGCAGTCGCACAGGCTCTGATTAGTTTGTAATCAGACAGCCATGTTTGAGATGTGTAAAGTTATTATTATTAAATATTTGTGACAGCGTATGATTGCAATGACTATTGTTGATTTTTGCCATACGTTTTAATCATTTTACCATCACAGCCATTGATATAATATCACAGCCAACAATGCGCCGTTAGCGAAAAGATGGAGAGTTAAACCACATTAAAAATTCGTGAAGGGTTACACAGTAGGTAGGTACGTAGTTACATTTTCATAATTGTGTGGTAAAAATAGTTAGCGTGCTCTAAGAATCCCTATAACACCTTTATTATTATATTTTCATTACAATTGGAAATGTAACTGTAAATTTATAGTACATTTTATGACGCCTTTGCGAAATATGGTGGTAAACTCAAATATTCTCTTGAAACAGCAGACGATGAACGCAATCGCTTGCAAATGCTATTCCGGCTTAAACTCAAAATCATAAATTTTTATTTTAATGTAGGTACCTACATGGAGTTTTTGCGAAGAACTTATTATGGACTAATATAGCTAACATCATACGTAGGTGTATGTTTGATTTCATCATAGTCATTATTTATTTCAAAGTTCCGTATTCCTATACAGTGGTTTATGAAGGTTTATGAATCTTGCGTGCTTATTGTAATCAAGTGTCAATTAGGTATTCAATTACTGTCCAAACGTATTCGCGGTGGACAATGGCGGCAGGGCCACTCCGCTTTCATGTGACCGCGGAGTGCGGAGTCGGCCATAAATCGCGATGCGCGCCTACAGCACAGCTTCTTTTGTGTAGTGACTTTATTCCACGTACAGACATTATAAAGTAAGTGTGTGTGTGTGTGTGTGGGTCGTGCGGCGTGATTGTGTGTACAATTGGTGTGCGCGCAGGTGTGTCCGAGACTGGACGGCGCCGGCGCACATTCCATCGGCGGTCACGGCGCCGCAGACTGACTGTGTAACTACTTGACGATTGCGGACACGACTCATACGTTCCCGAAAGACACTGTCTAAAATATTAAATCAACATTCTTTAATTATTCATTAACGTTTAGCTACGACTTTGGAATAATATTGTTACGCATATAACACATAAACATCGCACATAAACTGTGATTATGGCTCTCTATCACATTAAAATGCACCCGTCCGTGATAGATAACGATGTAGGTATCTACCTACCTAGATTAAAGGTGAACTTTGTATTCGAACTTCTGTCAGTAGCGAAATGAACAATTTCTTGAAATTTTTATGATTTCTATTTTAATATTACCTTTAACAGTTTCATATTTCAAATTTAGGAGATTTATGAAATTTTAAGTGTCCTGGATACAACTTATACGGCGCGATAGATTAGTTTCAATTCGATATCCGACTGTACTTAACCCTTAAATGCATAGATTTTTATTTCGGGCTGGAAAAATGTTACCTGGTAGGTATTTTGGCACTGATAACAAAAAAAATATAAAAAAAATCTGGTATTAAAAATATGTATTTAAATATATATATATAATGTATGTTAACATTTGGCAACATTATGCGTTACGTACTTAAGTTATGCTTACTTATTTATTGGGGGTCATATATTTATTTATTCAATTATATAAACAATATACAGACTATTTCGAGTGAAATGCAGCAAAACAATTTCGATCTTTAGTATGACACAATGCAACCCTACATTTAGTACACTCAGTCCGCGAAAAACCATGACAACCGGGAAGTTTGCATCTGTTTTTAAAAGTAAATCTTTTTTGATCGTGGCCTATTCCATCAGTCCGCACGTCTTTTGGAGGAACAGGCTTCGCTGGGCCCCGGTGTCTCTTTGCTTCTATCTCCCTATCTATATTACTGCTTGAAGGCCTTCCTCTTTTGGGTTCAGTATATTTTTTATAATTGCATAAGGTCTCCGCAAGATCCGATCTAAAATCACCTAGTGTTATGGTTGGGTGTTTTTTTTTTAAAGTACCCATGAATTTATTACTGCCATGTCGACCATGTGATAAAATAATCGGATGTACCACTTCCGACTTTTAATTCTGATTTTATACCTGCCCAAATAACTGTCCATCAAGTCAACTCCGCCCATGTGAGCATTATAATCTTTGACTATTTTTGGGCAGGCAATGGAGACTTTTTTCTTCAGCTTCTTATCGAATCTGCTGACGGTTTCAGCTGGTTCAGAACCAACATACGTAGACGCCAAAGTAACAGGCTTATTGTCCTTCCAGCAAGTTACCGAAATATCCACACCTTCATAGTCTGCTAGTAGTTCCTCATACGATCCTCTTGGCACAGAGTCCTTCATGAACTCTTTTACTACCGGTAACTTACAGTTTTTTCCGAGGCGGTTTCTTTGAATTGTGCCCAATGTATAAATGCCTTGACTATGTAGGTAATGTAACAAAGGGATGGATGTATAAAAGTTATCAAAATAAATAATATGATTCATTCTTCGCGGAACTGAACGGCACAATCTGATGACTGTATTACCAACTATACCAAGATCAGGTTCATCAGGTAAGTTCTGAATGTCCTGTTTTCCTGAATAAATTTCAAAACTATGAGCATATCCAGACAATGAACATAAAACATACAACTTGAAACCCCATTTATGGGGCTTATTGGGGAGATACTGTTTCATAAAATGTGCTATCTTGGTAGAGCACATTTGTTCATCTAAGAACAGCCTCTGCTCAAATAGCGTCATACTCAGAAATAATTTATTCAAATGTTCCTCTATAGGTCTTATTTTGTGCAGACGGTCGTAGTTGGGATGATCAACGGGCTTGTGCAAAGTGTTATCATTGAAGTGAATGACAGATCTCAATTTTTCAAATCTATTTACCGTCATCGTTTCCATTATATTTTTGAAGCCATATTTACCCCAATAGGATCTTACATTTGGGTAGTGAAATACTGACATAAATATGATAATCCCTAGAAACTGACGAATTTCCGTGGCAGTTACAGGAGGGCAGTTGGAGATGCCTTTTTGCGTGATATACAAATTAGTCTCATCCACAATTTTTATTAATATTTCTTCATTTAGAAATTGCGTAAAAAATTGAAATGGGGTCTCAAGTTTGGCTAATTTTGGGGAAAGGCCTGTATTGCCTATAAAACGTATGCGGTCTTCACTAAATTCCAAATTGCATTTTTTCCATACAAGCTCCCTTCTTTTTTGCCTCCAGGCCGCTCTACCAGTGTTACCTGATAGTGCCCGACTAGATGATGGTCCTGGAACTACAAAGTCATCTGATGGATGGTCTTCTTCAATTGCTAAATCAGGATCTGCATCGTTTTGATCTAATTCCTCTGCATCTTCTAAGTCCTGTATCAGATCTTGTACATTAGGGTAGTAATCTAGTTCATTTTCGTCGCCTATACACTCCTCATCTTCAGAAATATCTCCATTTTCGAGAGCTGATAAAATATTCTCAATATCTCGTTCTTCTAACCGCTTAGCCATCCTAAAAAGCAAACTAAAATAAGCTAAAAGCCCAAACAAAAGCAAATAATACGCATACACATAATATGCAACAAACGCATAATGTAGACATTTGGCAACATACAGTTTTTACGATTCTATATTATCAGATCCCATAAAATTTACAAGTAAAATATGAAAAATCAATAACTTACCTAACAAGAGTTGAGAAAATATTTTCTTTGAATCAAAAATAGCACTTGTGTATCGATAAATCATAAATTACGGAGACGCTTCTTGTAACTTTACGCACTTTGTCGACCGCCACATTGAAATGTAAAAATAAAATTACCTTTACCGCCAAAAGTCGTAATTTATTTTTTTGACACTTTGTTTATTTACTGTCTATGGTCGTCAAACTGCGTTCGGAAACACGTACCTGATGGGTCTAATACAATAAGGTGAACGAAATGAATGTATACAATTGGCAACACGGTGCATTTAAGGGTTAAATTGTGCGGAATTTATATAAATGAACGCTATAATGCACCACAAATGGTGTATGTATTATTTAGATAGTCATTATTAATATAACTACCATCCACTAAACTCTGTAAAAGTTTTAAAAATCAGTTAAAAATAAGTTGCTGTAATCGAACCTTGGCTTGGACGCAGTAGTAAATAAATTTTTGTGTTTCTGTTTTTCTAATTTAACACATTTTTATTTACGCCATCTATTGTATTGCTCTGTTCCTTAAAAAACTAGAATAATTAGTTTCTTGGTAATACTGCTATTCGCCAATAGATGTCCCAAGTTACCTAATTTTCGATTTTGTATGTTTATAAATTAAGAAAAGAAAATCAATGAAAATTTATTTGTGTACATTTAGTTATATTTAAATTTTAATAAATGAGTAGTATCGGACTGTCTTAACTTCATAAAAAAAACTGGATTATTATAGGCAACACTGAAAACGCATGGAGAAAATGAGATGAATAACCTTATGTCAAACTCAAAATCAGAAACTGAACGTAGTCGCCGGTGGATACTCGAATATTCTAGACTCAGGCATCACTTCAGCCAGTACTTCGTTTGTTTCGGAATTTAGTGTTCGTTACAAATTTAAAGAAATAACATGGCTGCAGCAATGAAACGCTTGATTCCACTGCTTGACCGCGTCCTTATCAAAAGGGCTGAAGCTATTACGAAGACCGCAGGCGGCATCGTGATTCCCGAAAAAGCACAAACGAAGGTTTTACACGGTGAAGTGGTTGCTGTTGGGCCTGGTGCGAGAAAGGACAACGGTGACTTCATTCCAATTCTCGTTAAGGTTGGCGACAAAGTCCTTCTCCCCGAATACGGCGGAACTAAAGTTTCTCTAGAGAATGATGAGAAAGAATACCACCTCTTCAGAGAGTCCGACATTCTGGCAAAAATTGATAACTGAAACAAGTGTTAGCTTTAATTTTGGTGATTTTGATTCTGTTAGTCATAAATTTAGAACTAGTAGTGAATGAACAATATGATTGTGTAACATGTTAATGTGTGAAAAGATAATGTTATCTCAGCTGCATTTCTAATTATAAATTTGTTATTCAAAGTATGTTGTTTCATTATTAAAACCTGGTTTTATAATGGATCAGCAAAACTTCATTTTTTTCTGTCATAACCTATACATAACCTATTTCAAGCGAAAATTGAAGCTGGACAAGTAATGAGATTTGAAATGAAAAATCTTATCTCAATTACATTTTGAGCTGTTACTTTTCTGTGATAAATGACAAGTGTAACTGATACAAAGTCTGAACTAACTGCTTTAGCTGTTGAAGTCTCATAAACCTTTCAATATAAGACATCTATTAAAGATGTGGTTGAATCAGACCTATTGTCTAATCACATTTGTATCACATTTTAATTGCTAACAATATTATTGTGTAATTTACATAGTGATGTATCTTATATATCAGTGTAAGCCTATGCTCTGGTGAGAACCTCTTAATAAATGACAAACAAGAAGTCAAGCTAGCCAACTGTAGGTACTCTGGTGAATATGTAATGCTGCAATATGGATATACCTTCTGATCTAGGAAGCATATTTCTGGCTTTTTTATAGGTCTTTAATATTTTATCAATAATTGCTAGGAAATAGTTACCCTTACTTAACATTGTAGAGCCCTAAGTAACTGTTTTTACAAGTCTTTAAATATGATGTAAACAAGAATAGAAATAAACACATGATATAGCTCGTATAATATTCTACTGTTAACTTAGGTTTTTTTATAATACCTCTTGAAATTTAATATAAAAATCTCTTAAAATACCCATATAGGCATTAGACAATTAAATTTAATATTTTTGTATTCACACATTGGGGTTACATTAATTAGAACAACACTGCACGAAAAAAAGATAGAAACAAGTTGTGAAGCAGGTTCTAGATTATGTCAAAATTTGCTCAATTGTTGCAGATTATTTAATTTTTGAAGTGAACACAAACCAACTTAACATTCATATAAAAATTATTGTAATATGTATTGGGGTTGTAGTAATAAATTGACATTGAATTTAGAAAGTAACATTTGTATTTCAATGTGAAGAGGGCTTTAGGTGTAAGTCACAATAATAGACATCCAAACCAGGTTACAAATGGAGAACTGTTTAAAAAGTATGTCTAATTTGATTTTATTCTAATAGTGCTGATAGAACTTGTAGATAAGAAGTTCCCTATCAAAAGAATACCAAGTGGGCATTCTCATTATAAAAAAGGAGAACACCCTGATAAACTGGTAGGCCTCATCAGTATTTAGCCACAATGTATTGCTTCTTTCATCTTCTTTCGATCTGTAGAAGGAGTGCCTTGAATCAGTTCAAACTATGCATCATCAGGTGTGACGAGAGATACCACGGCCTCGACCTGACTCTGGGAGGGGACATCAGGTGACATGATTGCTCGTTTGCCTCCATTTCATTAAAAATCATACCGGACACAAGTAAGTATTTAGTCCCAGGTAACTGGAAGCAGTAGTCCTAAGTTCCGATTCACTGAAACTTATCATTATAGGCTTTGGTTTGCACAAGCAAACATTATCAGTTGACTCATTAATACTATTGACCTTCTCTGCAGTTTTACAGAAGTACTCTGTTCTGTAGGTCTTGAAGTGGATTTATTTTTCTCAATTAATATTGCTTACCTTCAACGCTGTCTGATATTCTAAACCAGCGAAATAATGTATTAACTAGTACCTAATCCTTTATCGTTACTTTACATACCTATTAATACAGATACTGAATCGATTTTATCGAAAATGGTAAATGATGGACAAGCATACCTACACCTTTCATAGAATAAAATTTGGCGCATTGGCGGTGCTACTTCAGTCTCAAATCTTCAGATAACTGTCAACCTTTTTCAACTATAAAACTCATTCGTTACAACATTCTTAACTTACCTAATCTCTGCCTGACAATCTTTCCTGGGAGAAAATTGGTTTCTCAATCCTACTGACATTTTTGTTAGAGCAATGTTTATTCTTGCAGTAAATTATGGATTGTTTGTCTGAAACATACAGGCGCGAGTCCTTTGACTATTTAATAGCATGTGACAGGTAATACCTGTATTGATTTTGCTGTAATTTATGGAGTTTATCGAAGTAAGTAGGTAATATGCGCTTACCTAACATTTTATTTCCGCATAACCTTGCCTATACACGGTACATCAGAAGAATAGTCCCTGCCCACAAAAATTGATTAGGTATTAGCAAAACAATTATTACAAACTGAATTAAACCTCAGCTGCTAAGAGGGCGAAGTATCTGAAAACTTAGCTCTGAGATTAGAGTAATTCAAAATGTAGATATTATTGGCCGCGAAAACATATGGTTGCGGTTGTTAATCAACCAAGCCCAAGTAGATACCTAATGTCAAGTAATCATCAACCTGAACCCTGGCAAACTCTATTCCTAACTGCGGGAGTTCAACTACCAAGTGATGAACAATAAATGTAACAACCCCCGTTTGGGGATACGATACTAGGTAGAGGGTTTGAAAGGGCGACAGCCGACAACACACTTGTAACTCTTGGCTTGCACGTATCCATGGGCGGTAGCCACTTACCATACTAAGTATAGGTATCGCACTTGGCACACCATGTGACCCATCTGCTCGTTTGCCTACCCAAACCATAAAAAAAACTAAGATGAAGTCGTTACTTGTTTAGAACAAGATGTGTAGTACAGAGTTTAAGTTTATAAGAAGTTATAAACTACTTAACTCCACGACAAGCATTTGGCAGGCTTTCTTGAACAAGCAAGCACCTTGTAAGTAGGAATGTTTATGTAGTATCTATATATCATATAAAAAATTATATCATATTTATATATATATATTTTTTATATAGGTATATTAAGAAAAACCAATACCTACCACTTTTAACTATCATTGTCATTGTAAAATTACACACATGTACTAGATATAAAATAGCATATATTTTTTATTCATCTTTGTACAAGTATAATTTCACTACAACTTGATATTATGAGTAAATATTAATTAATGTATTAAACGTAAATCACAGTAATACAATATCTAGTAAGGCCATTATGCTAATAACATTAGTAAGTGGAATCAATGATTTTTACATGTAAATTAGAGGGGTAGAATAACTTAAAATGTTTTTTGAATATTTTTTCATTGTTGATGATTGCACACAAATATATTCTAGTTGTATTGTTAAAGAAATAAGCTTAAGTTGTTAAGGATGGTTATTATGGATGGTTAAAGAATTCTTTCTAAACACCGAATGCTACATTTTTTATTGCAATTATTCAATATACGAGTTTTACCTTTTTTCGTGTTGTGTAGGTAACTAGTCTTAGTAGCATCCGAATTCTTTAAATGTGTGTGAAGTAAATATTTTGCATTATGTCATTTCAATTCCAAATGCTGATTCATAAAGAACTTCAAACCCATTCCCTTCTCAAAGAAGAAACTTCATTGATAGTTTGTTAGATTAATTCATAAGAATCTCTAAAAACATAAGCTCGATGGATCTTCAAGAACAAAATACTTTGAGCATCATTTGTAAAGAGATTATGAGGAGAATTTAGTTAGATATTTTTAATAAAAAATACAAATAAAATTTATTTTAAAGTTATTATTTTCTATGGTACTTAATATAGTAAAAAATTGATTGTAGTTTCTTAAGTATATATAAATTGCCATGGAGTATCTACTATAAATAAGTAGAGTAGAAAATATTAACATTAGATTTCATATTTAATTAAACTGTAAACTTAAACAAATTTTAACATGTAATAAAATTAGCAGCTTAAATTGCATCTACTCAAGTGCATTGTATAATAAAACTACATTTACATGATGGCAAGCAACCTTATTTTTAATTTTACATGATATAGAACTCAGCATATTAATTACTTGGCCTTGAGTTTTGACTACTTTTTAAATATATGAGATTATTTATGTGTTAATACTAAGATAATTTTAGATATTTGTAACTTTGTTTGTGAATCAAATTTAACAGCAGCCATGTTAATTTAAATATTCTTACATTACAGGAGTCCATTCTTCTGGATTGAAAATAAAATTAATAATATTGAGTGTTTTCTATTTAAGTCTTATGTTTAAACACAATAATCTCTGTAAACATTAGATTTGAATCATTATTTTTGTATTGTAAGTAACATCACATTATAGTGCTTAAAAGTAGAGCATAACCATAAATAAACATATGAAACTATGAGGAACATACAGTAAATTACAATTTATATGTAAAGCTTCAGAAGGCCAATTCTCATAATTTAATTCAAGTTTAGTCAAAATTAAGTTCCGATCAACTCTCTATCTGGCAACTGTAGTAGCAAAGTAATAAAGTATTACTAGGATGAGCAGATTAATAATTTAATTTTCGGTTAAAATACAATATAATCACATCCCATTACAGTCAATATTGGATGTTGACCACTACTAGGAAAATACTTTTTATGACAGTTGTGAGATCACAAGTTGATTAGAAGTCAATTTTGACTGAACTTTTATGATGAGAATAGGCCGTCAGTGACTGCTTTCAAATTATCGTACAACCACACTCTATAATGAGACAAACCATACTGTTTTGACTCAATTATACTTGCAACATAACTAATGTGCTTACAACAAAAAGGTACATAATAATGGCATATCAATACATAATTATAATGTATACACTATTGTAAAGATATGGCCGTGCGTCTCACTGCGGCTGATAATGCTGGATTTGGATCTGGAGGCTCTGTTAACAACTGCACTGACGTCCAACAACCATCCTCATTTGACTGCCGTAGTGCCTCCATTGTAGCCTGCACTCTTTGCCCATCTTCAAATGTCGCTGCAGCTTTCACAGGCTCCTTTACCCAATCCATTTGTTCCTTGACTGGTAGAAATGCTTCTTTCAAAGCACTAATCATTTTACATAGCCCTTTAATGTAAGGTTTAGGCACAACACTTGATGCACAACTCAAATCTTCAACATCAACATATATCACCTCTTCTTTATCATGATGTTTCTTTCCATCATCTTCTACGATTTTACCATTAACTTTATGTAATTTTCCATGTAAGTCTCCGCCTTTAACTACTAAGTAGCCTTTCTTACTACAAACATAGATCTCTTGGTTAAAACATGGTCCAGGTAAATGATTATTTAATGTGGCCGTTACTAATAGACCTTTATCCATTTGTAATTGGAACGTACAAAAGTCAGGTGCTGTAATTTTCCTTATACCATTCACTTTACTTGTTTCTTCAACAAAAGTCCGTAACACACCATGAACTTTTACCACTTTTTGACCGGTTAGAAAAGAAACAATATCTATCACATGGCTACCTACTAATGTGAGTGTTCCACCTCCCATAGTTTCATCACATAACCAGTTATAATTATCACCCGTTAATGGACCCATCTGAACTCTAACATCAATAAGGGTTAACTCATCAGGATTTCCCAGATAACCTTCTTGAATACACTTCCTCATGTGACTGAACGCAGGTAAGAATCTTAATGAATGGTTGACTATGGAAATAAGGGTTGGATAATACTGAGCAGCACGCACCATCTTTAAGGCTTCAGCCTGGCAGAGTCCAGCTGGCTTGTCACAGACCACATGTTTACCAATGCCAAGCGCTTTTACAGATATTTGAGCATGTAAATTTGGTGCACACACAATGAATACCAGGCTTACGTTCTTCTTCAGCAACACATCGTCGATTTTATTCGTAAAAAATGGGATCTTTAATTCCTTTGCGGCAACTTCGGCTTCTTGGAGGGTCACTCCCCATATTGCTTCTACTGGAAATCCTTTTTCTCTCAAAAATGGTACCAATACTTTTGCAATAGCCCCAGTCCCAAAAACACCAATTCCCGGTAACATTATTTTAACAACAGGGCACTCGAGGATACCTGCTACTTATTATTTCAGCAAAATAATATTTCGTTTCATACGTTACATACTTAAAATATGAATTAGGCTGCGTATTTATGAACAGATTACAGCACTTTAATTCAATAAAGTCTGCATTAAACAAAACTTACACATACGCGGCGACATACTGAACTGAAAATTAGTTTAGTGATGAGCATAAGTCGTAAAGTGAAATGTCGATTTTGATTTGAAATCCTTTTTTTTTCGGATTTCGGAAATCCCCTCGGATACCATATTACCCACCGGATAACTGGTGTGGTAGTTATGTCAAACTTGGATCGACTAAAAACCAACGTCGTCTCGGGTATGAGTAGCCAGGGAACCAGATGTACCCTAGAAAGTAAATCCTTGGAACCCCGAGAAAGTCCAGGCCATCTACGGTTTGTAGTTGACATCCTTGTGTGTGGAAACCACGAGGTAACAGATGGCCCCACCTGGAGGACAGGGGTCGTTTAGTGCTGAGTCGTCTGCTTTATTACCTGGCCCGTTCCTGGAGCTGGCGGGCTGAGAGAGTTTTAAACCTCTACCGGTTCCCTTTCACCGTCTCCTTCGTAAACACAACTTGCTCGCAATAGGAGATGGCAGAGTATGATTAAGATAACCTAAAAAGGCTTTAGAAAAACAAACAATAATCATGAAGAAAATTTTATTTTAGGCCTGTTTAAGACAATGCATTATAAATAATATAATGCGTTTTTCAATGTTATAAACCATTTAGGTTTATAACATTGAAATAAGCAAAGATACTCGGATTCTACGCTACAGAGTCTCAGTCCTGCCGGCTAATTAACTTGATAAATTAATACATTTTTGTAGCAAGTATTTAAATAATGTTTTTCGATCGTTTTTACCTCGGTAATGCCAGCTTTGTAGGGAAAAAAACTGTACCTGTTCTAGGAAAATGAGACTAAAAAAAGAGAAGTTTTAGTAAATTTCCAGTAAAGTAGTACAATAATAATTATTATCCTTTTTCAAGGATTTTACCGATAAGTCTACTAGCATCACTATTTGGCATTTAATTGTTATGTCAAAATGTTTTTGTGTTCCAAAACTACAACTGGCATGAAGTACAATCCCTGCAACCGTACAAGGTTTTATAAAACAATATTTTTTAAATTAATTTTAATTGGCTATGAATTTTATTTTATAATTTAAAAATGAGAACAGCATGAGAAAAATTGTATTATTGGCTTATTCTTAAATACTTTTAGCAATATCACCAAGTATATTAATGTAATGTTCCGAACGGAGGTTAATTTTCTAAATACCTAAACATTCCGTTCTCGTGAGTTGAGTTTTGATAAATGTTGATAGTTGATGCAACACTGAGGAATGTTATTTTTATTAACTAATTACTGAGACTATTATTTTTCATAACAAGCTTTCTTTTTAATACTATAATATTTCCTACAGCAAATCTCTATTAGACGATTAAACTTGACTTAAAAATGTTGTTTCGATATAAAACAGTATAGGATAGGTAAGTTGTAGACATCAGTAATGGATTAATGCCCATTAGCTAATTAGATTTAATTCAATTAATTGCGAATTATTATGCCAGCATTTTATTTGCTAATGCTAATATTATTTGCTAATATTGCAATTTTGTACGAGGAGAGCAAATGAAAAACGATCGTAACTTGTAAGTATATCACTAAGTATTAATTTTACATAAATAACTTATTTTTATTATATTTTAACTCACCGCGATTTTCGCGATCAAAAGTGGCTGATATTTTATTTTCTCCAACATTATTACAGAAATAATGCAATATAGGGTTTGTTCGAGATATGCTAGCCTTTGTCAATTTGTCACTTAACACTATCTATTTACAAAAAATATTCCTATCTATTCACAAAATACCTTTACAACGTACACGTCACACTCACTCTTCAAATCTTAAATTACCTATCTACTCTTTTATTAAACTTCTTATTAACAAATACTATATAGTTGTAATGGAATATTTAGTCTCTACACTCATATTTAATTGTAAATTCCTCATTAGCAGTTAGCGAATTATTTGCAGTCATGAAATTTCGTGAACGTATGAATTAATACGTATACGAAATTTCATCCCTTCATTCGTTAACGCTTGACATTCACACAGTACGTGCTTCCTCATTCGGAATTATCATTATCATTAACTTAATTCCCGGATATTTTATTTTGTTTATTACGACTATTATTAATATTACGCCTATTAGCATTAGTAAGTGGCCGGGAGATTAAGTATTGTTTTGAATGACTTTGTTTTCGCATAGTGTTTTGTTAAATCGTTTGATGTTGTTCGTAGAATTGGTACCTACTAGTATTTGTTAATAATAAGTTTAATTATAGAGTAGGTAGGTAAATAGGTAGTAGTAGGTAGGTAGGTAAATCATTGATTTCCTAGGGCACTGTCCCCCATAAACGGTTTGCATTACATTCAAAATGGTCTGAGCGTTCTTTACGTGTTTGATAAAGATTTTCAACACAGCACGGTGTTCAATTTTCTCCATATTTTCAGTTTTCTTCCGTATAGACTGGTTTAGCAGGCGAATATTCGTAAACGAATGAAGCAATAGGGCTGAAACTTAATTTATATACTAATGATGAGTCCCCAATTAGTATTAGTATAGACACTAAGCGAGCGCCCCTATTCCAACTCCATCCCCTCCATTCCAAGAACTTTTGGACCTCCCCTCGTATAGTAATTTTTATATCGTCATCGCCCTTAGTTTAATTAGCTTAATTATTAGTGCTTATGACTTGAAAAAGTTTGTAAATAATATTTTAAGTACCTACTACCTAATTAATATTTTAATGACAACTTTATTTTAACCACAGAATAGAGAATAAATTCTGGGATTTTAATTGTCATTTCAATAGAATTCATCGAAAAGATTCAAAACCTTTGAGGTATTGCGTAGAAAATAATTATCGATCATCACACACCACCAGTGGCGGATTAACCTTAAGGCAAACAATTCCTTAATTCTATAGAGATGTTTAAGGTTGACATCTAAGATTTATCATAGGTACCGCAGGCGACTCAGGCGCCGGAGGTCGCAGAATGACCTCCGTCCTCCATAAGCGCAGCCCTGGGGGTGACAGGTGAGGCCATCTGTCACCCTAGCAGAAGCAGGCCGGGATGGCGGCGAGCGCGTTGCGAAGCGCGCTCGCTTCCAGGGAGCAGAGGCAGCACACGGGGGGGGCGTCTACTCGTCTGTAGATGGCCCGAGGTATGTCGGGGCACCAGGGACAGGGCAAAAAAAGGTACGTGATTGGCACTACTTCTTTGTTTTCATTTTCAGATACTTTCGAAGATTGATGCTAGTGCATGTACAGAAAAGTGCAATTGCTACGACTGCAGCTGTAGAAAAGATTACTTTATATGTTGTAGAAATAGACCAGGGTTGTCCAGCCAATGGCACTATACTAGAATAAGGCGTACCTCTAGCACCCTTAGAGGGTGGTGGCGGATCTCCCATGGGATTTAGAGGCGGAAATGAATGGCTAAAGGCCGCTGGCCGAGCCACGATGACTCGTTGGTCGTCCCGGCTGGTAGCCGACTAAGGGAGCAAAGTACGCAGGACCAAAGCACTGCAAAGAGAAGGAAAACTTGAAATAAACCCTATATCAACCCGTCTGGCCAGCGTGGTATAATAGGCCAAAACCTCCTTTCTAAGGACAGGCCTATGTCCAGCAGTGGATTGTTATATGCTGTTGATGTGATGTGCTGATAAACTATACTATAAATAGCCATGAAAATAAATGATAATATTAATAAATTCCATAATTTACAAGTTGTTTAAAATGTTTGTATAATATAAAGGCGCAACTACACATTGTTCTCTATAATACAAAAAGTTTAGAACAAAACTTACCTGTTTTTTTGCACAACCACGAATAGAACAAAGTTTTGACGGTTCGCTTTCGGCAAATATGGACACGTTACTGCTTGTGACCTTGTAGCACTAAAACGGGCAAAGAGCGGGGAGAGGCACAAATATATTTACCGAGTCATTATTATCCTTTTCTTTTCTGTCAGTGCTAACCGGTAGAGAATTTAATTTTGTGGCCTTAGCATTTAAAAGCACATTTCACCAGAATTATGACTTGAACCCTTATATTACTGAGGGTACGATTTCAACCGTTACACGCTCCGAGGCTGGGACTCGAGGTTTCTCTGTACAAATCTGAAGCCTTGTTCTTTCATGAGCCTAGGAGGGGGCCACCTGCGGGATCCAGTCTTATAGTAGGAGGCACTCGCATCGACATATAGCCCTCGATGAAGTATCTGGGGCTCGTACTAGGTCGGGATCGTGGAACTCGAGAAATCGAGGACCAGAAATTCCAACTCTACCGGGTGCTCTTGGAGGAGTGGAGTGAAAAGATTTAGGCAACCAAGCGCCTGGCAGGCCATTATATCAGCAGTAAGACTCGTTATGGATTCGCTCAAGAGGAAACACGGGACCCTCTCATACCGGCTGACGCAGGAGATCACCTGTGTCTGATCCGCAAGGAACCAAAATTTCGTTGCCACTATTGCGGTTGGCAGAGCGTGGATACGGCGCTCCAAACGCTGCTAGAATGCCCGGCGTGGCGTGGCCCCGTGACGGCCATCAGATTGAGGATTCTTTAGCTCTGTACCATTATTGCGGTCATGGTACGGAGCAATGGCGCGATGAACTGCGTCACCTTCGTCTGCGAACAAGTTATGATCGAGAGGGAGAGGCTTGAGCGGGACCTGAAGAGGCCTAGAACCAGGGTTTCCACACGTAAAAAAATAAAAGTTCTGGAAAATCTCTCACACATTTAGTAACTATCATGTAATCGGCTGATGGGCCGCCATTTGTACTTGTCTAACCTAATTTAAGTTAATTATTGTATATTAATACCTGGTGTACATTGAAGCGATATATTATTATTATTACATAAAAAACTGAACAAAAACACATTTTAACCAAATCACGTTCCCTGATATTATTATGGTCTCAGCAGTAATACAATAGTACAGTGCGTATTCAAGTAATTAAAATTCAACACTGCGATGCCCTGGCTCACTTAAGACATGATGTCTGATTTACAAACATTAAATAATCCAAAGAGGGCGCTGAGATCTTGCCTTTGCAGCCACTTTTTATCTAAAGAATAAAATGAATAAAGCTATATAATTGTCTCGTATCAAAAATATAGCATAATACTTGTTGATTTCTGATCAGCCCAGTTAGTCAGAGCTCTAAATTAGGCATTGTTGTACACATTGTACATACGTATGGCAAATAAAGTGTTGCTCAAAAGAAGTATTAAAATGTGAAATAAAACCATTGCGTAATTAATTATGATCGATAAATTCTTAAACAAAATATGTTTGGAGATATCGTTCTAATAATTGTATACGTGTAAGTGGAACAAAGAATAATATTTATTGAGTAAACAGTAGGCACGGTCGTAAGTCACGCTGTATGGCGCTTAAAACGAATCACTTTTCGTCGGAGCGGTTAAATTCAATGCTTTGATATCCACCACCTGGACGACGAGACGCGACGTGGCTAGGGTTGCTACATTTACACATGAGATTTAAATATAATAATTAGGTAGTTGTTAAAGTATTAAATCAGTGTTTCAGAGCGAAAATTAAAATAACTTTCTTCTAAAAAGATATTTGTTTATTTGCTATAGTCAATAAGTTTCTGCTTTACCTTGTGTAGTATTATTTGGAAATAAGATTTGATTGTTTATTAAGACTTCCAGACTCAATATCGTGATTTTTGCATCGGGTTTATCAGGTTGTATAGTTGTTATATGGCAGCTTTTACTCGCTGTATATAGTATGTTAAGCGTGCCGCATAAAATTCCTTTAAAAAAGTAACCAGACATTTACTCCTTTAAATAATCCCAGGAACAACCCTAATCACATCCTATTTGCAGCAATTCGTCTAACACCTCTCTGTGGGATCCCGTGCCGCTCGTTGAACCGGTCACCTCCACAATTAGGGATGGCATGCTCTAAAGAAAATGAATGTTAAATATTTGATAAGACATAACGAGAATAATAGATGGTCCTTGATATGTAGAGTTTTGAATTTAACTACGGTGGCACATGGTGCCGCCACACGTTGGATGTGGCGGAACTATGTATGCATATGCATGCATACATAGTTATAACTACAGTCGCTAGCGCATGCTAGCGACTGTAGTTGTAACAGCAGATTTGTCTAATTGATCTTATCATTGGTCATGTTATGTGTGGTGAAAGATTTTCCCTAATAGGAAGGATGCAATTCGAGTCGCAATCTTATATGTTTATTAGTTTAAATTGATACAGTTATTAAAACACCCAGTTCAAAATTATTATAAGCCAATGACTACACAGAAAAACAGAATAGGTAACATGGTCTAGTATTCCTATACTTTTAATTTAAGGTATTACCTAGGTACTTATACTTCAATCAGCTACAAATTCGGTTCGAGAGCTTAACTTAAAAAATCAAACAAGTGCGTGTTTTACTCACGCACCAAGGGTTCCGTGCAAACTTGCATTTCCCCGATTTCTATGATCGGAAAGAGCTGAGTATGTTAAATAAATGAACTTACTTTCCGATCTAAACACGTTAACCCGTACATTGATGTAAATCTTCGTAAATTTTTAAGCACCTAATGTAGTTTACTACATTTAATTTTTATATAACACTAGCTATTTTCCACGTGATTATTTCATGTTCGTCCCTTATTTTACGCCCTTAAGAGTGAGAATTACAAAAATCCTTTCTTAGTCGGTGCTTGCAACATAAAAACACCGTCTGCCAAAATTACAAGTTTGTAGCCCCAGTGGTTTAGGCTCTGCGTTGATGAATCAGTCAGTCAGTCAGAGCAAATAATTTTATATGTATAGATAACAATAAACAAACGTTTTTGATTTTTTGTGCTTGTACTGTAAAAATATCCTTCCCACCAAATTCCGTGATTCTAGATGAAATGAGTTAAGACATGTTTTAACTGTGCCTATATTTTTATTGCGTTGATTTTACAAACTTGAGTTCTTTTAAGCTTTTAGGGACCGCAGACACAACTATTTGGTAACTTGGAGTTTATAAAAAAAAAAGGATCTTGACAGACAGTGAAGTGAAGAAAGTGACCCCACCTCTTATATAGAGTTCCTTCCTCCTCAAAGGGAAGAGCCCTAAAAGTAAAAAAGCTGTATTTCATGGAATAAATTTTGAATATTCTCAGCGATGGGAGTCCCCACTGGGGTGCATGCACATGTTGTTGTTTCCTAGGAAAGTATTAAATGTCGCGGAAGCGTGATCCTTAGCGGCGTCTGTCAACTTTTTGTGACGCTCACTTATGACAGCGCTAATTGCTTCACACTTTTCAATGATTCAGTTACGGTATTTACTGGTGATTACTGAGACTGAAAGTACAGTCAATAAATGATAGGGCTTTAATTTATTTTATTTTATATAAATATTATATAAAAAAAGCTAAATAGCTTAAGTTACCAGAAAGTAAAAGTACTAGAACTACTAGAATATTCCATTATATTAAAATTTCCAGTGGAAGGGATAAAAATAACTAAGCCATAATTGAAACCTGGTTTTTTAAGTCATATTCCGATACAAAAAAATAAGTATAGGCTTTGTTATTACTTGTTTTTAAAACAAACTATGTAATTGTAATGCTTGATTCATACTAACACAGAAAGTTAAAAAAACTTGTGAAATTCAATTATACTTATTTTATTACAAATTTATTTTTCAGGAAAAACCTATCTAATCCATAGTTTATTTAAACATTTAAAACATGCGTCAAAACACGTTAGCTATGTATTTAATTCTGTAAACCATCGTTCATTAGTCGAGAAGTAATCCTACGGTTTGTTCGGGTGGGGCGTGCGCGGGCGCCGCCCAATGGTATATGCCGCCCGCCTTGCGCCGGCGCATCTCAAATTATACACGTCACGGAACAGTAGACAAGCGCACAACAAACCAACCCCTACTTAAGAATAAAAATGTATATTTCTTAGAGAAATTACGTGATAGTGTTGTGTTTTTTGAGATGAAATTAGTGCAATATCAAAATGCCTAGAAAACGTGTTAATAAATCGCCTCCTGTTGAAAAGCGTACAGATGATGCTGACGACGATGATTTCTTTTTCGATGATAGTCAATCAAACTCAGGTATGCCAAGTTCTTTTTTTATTATAATGACTGAATTAAACCGACTATGGTATTTTTTTAGAACTAGGGAAACGCAAACATAATATTCAGGCCAATATTCTTTACTTCTGACCGTAAAAAGTACATAGGAACTGATATAAATACTGAAATTTTCCACTTGGCACTTATTAAACAGGTAAGTTGCTATTCTAATAAAATCACCAATAGTTAGGAACGTTAGTTAAAATAATTATCTGCTTAGCCTAAATTTATGTTGTTAAACCATTTAACCATTAAAAAAAAAATATTTCATTTATTAAATGCTTTATTCCCATAGAAGATGTACAAATGCCGTAGGCATTCTCAGCTAGTCTACCTCGGGGTGGTGTAGAGGTGCACTAAAATTAAATAAAAAGTTTCAATAACAAGACTTAACTAAGAAATACATTCACATGAAAAGAAAAGCGAAAAAATGAGGATAGAAAAAGGGATAAATATATATTCATATTAATTGAAACTTTCCTACATACATAAGTATAGCTACACATGCATATATATATCACACGTACAAACATATAAAAAGTTTGATTAATGATGTTTTTCATAATTGTAAAAACATTTGATTTTTTAGCCAGTAATGAAAAGAGCATACCTACTTACGATTAATCGTGAAAACTAATAAACTAAATTTGAAGTTATTTAAGTCGCTCACAGTGCAGCGTTCAATACTTTATAAATTATACATTTTATTTTTGTAATGATCGAAACAAACCAATTTAAAAGAAAAAATGTAATAATACCAATGACCCGTGTAATCTATACGTACTGTACTTTAGTGACATTTCACTGATTTGGCAAAAAATAGTAAAACTGCCATATTCTCTTTATCTCTGTTTTATTTAGGTACATATGTGCTGGACAGTGCTCTCTACTCTAACTTTACTCAAAATATATTATATAATATTTTGAGAAACTATCGAAAAAAACAATTGTTGTTTGCTTGATTCTGTTCGAGAAACGATGATTGAGATATTAAGTAGTCGATTGTTGTTGGTAGTTCTGTTTCGACTTTGTTTTAATTGATTACCTATTAGAGCTTTCTCCTACCGTGTTATCGTAAAGGGTGAATCATCAAAACATGACTTTCAAGTATGAATGATGATGCATGTCTAAAACGGAAAGGAAAATCCAAAAATACAACTTTTTTTTTCTTTATTCATAGGTCGCAGTTCTCAAGAACCACAACATAGAAATGCGGCCAATGCACGGGAGCGAGCTAGAATGAGGGTGCTCTCCAAAGCATTTTGCAGGTAACAACAAGGAACAGGTAACGATATATGGATGTAAGATTGAAAGTTATAATAAACTAAAAAATGCCAAAAATGTATCAATTATTGTCTTGAAATGCCTACAATTCATTATATATAAAGGTTAGGTTTAGGTTTGTGTGAAATTCCTGTCAGCACGAGAAAAAGTCTATTTTTTCATTTATTTTTTACCTTATGGAACGGCGCTTAAGCCTTTTAAGGCATAGTGGCATTATTTACCAAAAAGGTAAAAGGCATTACTACTAAAGCGTTGTTATTTGTATTATTATTAATTACCTTCCTCTTATTTATATAATACTTACTTATGCCTAAAGTTACAATTTACATCTTTTTTACATTAGCTACATTTTTTGATTTAATTATCTGGTTATACAGCACTAATTACTGTAGTTGTACATTCACATCTCGTTGATATTTCGACCACATTATAACATATTTAAAATTAATTTTACAATTTCTTTGTACTACTAGTTGTATAAGAAAATAATATTATGTCCATTTGCAACTTTTTGAAACCTATTCCTGAAAATATTTAAACATTTAGATTTGAGGACGAAGATTTTTAATTTGTTTAAAAATTTAAATAAATCAAAATGCCTATATAAATAAATCAAAATGGTCAAAACAAAAACTCGTTTTTGTATCTGTTATATTTGCAAAGATGAAACCGCTAATATAACCGCTTATCATCAGACGGATTGTGTTCTTTGTTTTTAGCTCAAACATTATATTTTGTGTTTTATTTTAATTAGATTGAAGACTACACTGCCGTGGGTGCCAGCAGACACAAAGCTATCTAAACTGGATACGCTGCGTCTGGCGTCATCGTACATAGCACACTTGCGCGCATTGCTGCACGAGCCGAGATCTGCGCACACACCGCCACATCCACTGAGCCTGGTCAGTAGTCATTAAAAGTTTTTATTTATTTGATGATTGCTTAAGTTCTGTAAATTTACTATGTATATGCAAGTACCCTAATTTTGTTACTAAGCGCCTTGCTATCAATACAGGATGTCATAGAAAAGTGTGATTATTTTTGAAGTCGTACAGGAGACCCGTGTTAAAAAAAATCGTGTTTTATCATACAGTCATCTTTTAAAACTGACAAATTTATCTTGAAAATTTACCGATAAATATAGTATATAGCTATGTAACTAAGGATGTTGATAGAAGTCCTGTTTTTATTATCTTCATTAAATTAAAAAAAAAAACAAAATCATTGTAACCATTAAATGTACAATATGTGCTGCAAAATGATCAGCTTTTAAGACAGTGGACAGATCTAATCCAAAAATGGCATTTCTCCTGTTGTTCTTTATGTAAATATTTAATTAAACTGTATGCTATGTAGCAGAAACTAACATCTTCATTGAACGTTATAATGTTGTTTTCTGCGCCTCTACACGCCCAGACGATAGCAATGCCGAAGAAAGGCAGCAATTCTATCTAATTTTTTTTGTGTAAACCTCTTGTTCTACTTGACTACGAGAATACCTTTTATGAGATTTCTGAGTACATCAAAACTGAATTTTAAACGATTTTTTTACGAGAATTAACTTTCTGAACATAAATCTTATAAGTATCGCATTAGTTTTATTATTTGTAACAGTTACATGTATACCTAACTATATGTTGAGATTTATAGCGTAATTGTGCAACCTAATCGTTGCCGTTGGTTATAGACAAGACTGAAGAAAACCACAAAACCCCTAAGCATTTATTCCTCAAAAAAAAATCTTTAGAAAAGCATGAATCACATAATTGTTGACTATAAATCCCCTGTCACGGTTGTCATCCACTTAATTAGTTTGGGGCGTAGCACGAGTCCTCAAACCGAATTGTTCTTGTGCCGAAAGTACCCGAAGTGTGCCCACAATAATTTAGTTGACATCTCTAAGCATATTTGCTAAACGCCAGCTCTCGGTCGCGCTGTCATCGGAGGATTAGTGAACACGTTCCACGAAGATCCTTCCGACGTGATCGATGGCAAGATTAAGCGATGGCAAACGAATTGTTAGTCATTGATCACTTTTGTAACAAGAGCTAAAATAAAAGCGTATCTCAATATTTATTGAGCTTTTAAAAGACTGCTAGAAGTATACATTTAGAAATGTTCTATAGTATTTTTATAAACATTTTACCTACTTGTAGAATATTTTATAGTACAAATACTTCTTAGAAATATATTTTGGACAAATGGTAAGACTATAAATTAATAATTAATCAAATCATTATGCGTTACTTTAGTTTTTAATAGGAGTCAAAAACATATTTTTTTTGTAGACCACCAACATAGATTAGTTGATTATTTAATTTTAAATCCTTTACGACGTTCTCAGACAGCGCGTTTTGCGACTCTTCATCGTGTGTGTTCTGAAAAAAAAATATTTGTCATAAAAAATCGAGAGTCACTTTCCGACCCTTCCGTCGGAATACAAACAAAAATGTAAATCGGTACAAGTGGAGCGAAGAAACATAGAAACAAAAAGGTTACAACAATAAACAAGAGAGTTTTACGCTCTGCGCGCACTGACCAAAAGTTTGCAGCTGTTACGAGTATAAATAAAGTTTATCTCCGGACGTTAAAGAGATGCTCCTGTTTTATTGTTCATATGCTTGTTCCTTTGTCTTATTCAGTACTTGATTATTAAATACCATGATTAAATTGCAAACAATCTTATTGCCTCATGTAAATTGACAACCCATCGCATTGTTGTCGATTAAAAAAATGACATCCTACTTGAAAATACTAACAGTAAATTTATTTTTATTTTGTTCTCAGCCATAATTACTTTCATAACTCACTTAGCCTAAATCTCTTTCAATTAAAAGGGAAAATTAGTTTGTAACTAGATCCTTCTAACTTGAACTTTGCATAAATTGCATTTGTCTCTACAGAATCTCACTTATTTTGAGCTCTGAAAATCGGGACTTAATCAGGATAATATCTTATATTACGTCCCGAAAGTTTGAAAACGACTGTTTTAAGTTCTGTTCACAATGCATTCTAAGTTTAAATGCATATTAAAAGAAAACTGGGAGCCGAGTGGGTGCGGCCCATTTTATCCAACTGAAAAAAAAACTAATCAAATCGCTTAACTAAATTAAAGGCAATAGCTTTCATTGTTTTAAACATTGTTTTTTTTTACTTCCATCCTTCATCTTCATTGTGCTTTGGATCCCTTAAATTAGTGAAGTTTGAGCGATGCTTCGTAGCGGACTTGGTAATCTCTCGTCTTAGCAATATATTTACTATAGACTAGGTAGACTATGTAACATCAAGCTATAACACTTACACTTAACCATAAACGGGGTGAAACTAATAAATAAATAAAATGAAGAATGACTAATAAATTAAATACTAATGTTTTATGTATTTATTTGTATATGGTCATTACCGAAGTATTACATAGAATAAAAAGTGCACGTTGCGCAAAAGATAGTCTTTAAATTCGCTATGACAAAACCCTTTAAAAAAAAGTTAAACCGACTTCAAACAATACTGACAAATAGCTCAAAAAAAATCTATCTAAGTAAAAAAACTATAATAAGTACCCTCAATATAACAGGTTAAAACACTTTGTACTGTAATGTATAGTACCAAACTGTAGTATGTTAGATTACATTAAATATAGTTTAATAAGTCCATTACTTTATTTAGATAATGTAGAAAGATGTTACATTTGAACCTTAAAAAATATACTGTTTTCCACATTACTTAATTTTAAATAACTAGGTGTGGTATTTTACCCTTCCAAATAAAAAAAATGGTTTAATTAAAAAAAAATGCTTGACATATAAAAGAGTTTGGAGGTAACGAACATGAAAATAATTGCGTAACAATTTTTTTTGTCTAAATGTTTTGTAATCTCATTTATTACTCTCTTGTACACATATCTCTGTAACCCCATACAAACACCTAACAAATATCTTGAAAGAATAAAACAAGGTCAATATATGATATATGATTTTTGAAAGAGTTATCCTGTAACTCCTAAAGGTCAAGGATCCTTCCATCACCAGCTCAGCAACATGGCATAACGACTACTAAACGCAAATACCTATAAAGCTAAAACACGATGTCGGGGCTAAAAAATTTGAAGGTTTCCCTCGATTTCCATCATCAAATCCTGATTTGGAGGTAATGGGACCACCTGGGGAGCATACCCTTTCGATCAAAAAAGAATTATGAAAATCTGTCCACAATTAACGATAATATCGGGTAACAAACATACAAAAAAATACAGACGAATTGATAACCTCCTCTTTTGTGTTTTTAAAGTCGGTTAAAAATATAGGTTACAATTTTCCAAGTCCCTGTATATAGAGAACGTGTACCTATGTTATTTCCGTAGCGTTAAGCGAGCAATTTACTTGTACTTTTAAGTTTTTAACAGTTACACTAATTGACAATTTGGGATCAGCTATGCCTATTATGCTTTTACTTTCACTGAACTGAATGTAGGTAACATAACAAAAACAGTATAAGTAGCCATTTAATTTTTTTAACTGTTTCTTAAATAATTGTGGATTTTTTTATTTTATAATTTAGAAAGTATCTCTTTGGTAATAATTTCTTTAATTTTAAAGTACGCTCATAGTTAGTCGCTTGTCGTCGCTTGTCGCGAGATTTAAGTACTCGTATTCACTTAGTTTGAAAATTTTAAAAATAAGAATCCTTTAGATTAAGGTATTTAATTATATTTGTTCAATTACACAGTTAAATCTCGCGACATGCTTTTATATCATATAAATTGTGTAATGACGTTATAACTTGTTAGTAAAAGTTTTAAAGGCAAAGTTCATGGCAAGTTATTTCATTATTTTTAGTGCATTTAAATAAAACAAAATTTCAGCTTAATTGGTTAAAGATATCTGCTACAAAATTGAGTTGCAAGATTCTACCCGAACAAACATAGTTACATTACATACATACTACATTCATTGCAAGTTGAATAAAATTGTAAAAGATCTCTTGTAAAAGAGGCATATAGTTTAATAAACATGATCTCTATTCGCAGCATCACTTGTTATGTATCAGATATTTGTAATTTTTGAGGTGTGTAGAAGACCGGTATTATAATGGTCTGCATAAGTGTGTTAACTTAAAAAATGTAAGTTTATTAGCTTCTGAGTCTCTTGACTTGTGCTATGTAATTTTTTAATATTTACAAAGGAGTTTTTCCAATAATTCCATTACTTTTTTTTATTTTTAAATACGCATCACTCATTAAGGGTAGTCCGAAATCATAGTTTGTTATATTTTAATAAATATAACATATATATTACGAAATTGGTCCTATTTACATAATAATATTTTTCAATCTTAATGAGAACTTTTAACTTAAAAGAAGACTTCTTTAAAAAAAAATGTTGTTGAAAAAAAAACAATGAACAGTTAAAAATTGTTGTTTTACAATTTTTCTTGGGAGACTTTTGTAAGAAAACCATTCGTCTTGTAGAGGTTGAGATTAAATTCAAGTAAGAGTTGGGATGAAAAGAAATAACAATATTTATTACAGCCATGTAACAAATAATAATTTCAAGTTCAAAGTTACGCAACAATATGTTTGTGGTATACATACCTAACTATATGTTGCATAGGCATTATATTATTTTCAGATTCACAGATTTTCAGAATTCATTTTAATTTTGATCAGATTTTAATTTTATTTTGTTTTAATATCCGCATGTTCTCTATTTATTGCATAATTTAATTGTAAGGAATTGACTCTTTTTATTTAGCTATTACTGCGATGTCCTATTTGTCTTTTTAGTAATTTAATCATGATTTGTTAAAACGTACAGATAAGACGACTGCTTTTTTTGAATTATAACATTGTTTTTTTTTCCATATCAATAGATGATTAAGTTTCTAAATTTTCGATAAGTCTTTTAAATTGTGTTTTACTAAATTAAATTCAAGATATAAATACACATGCGTGTAATGTAATCTAATAACTGAAAATGTATATTTATAAGTTTACTTAAATTGTCCTTATACATATTTAATTCGTTTATAATTTTTCTAGGCATGGCCATTCGCGTTCCAACATGGAGGAACGCTTAGTTGCGCGATATCGCAAAGATGGAACATAAATCCTTCAGTGAACGACTCGTCAGGGTGTCGGAATAATATTCAACCTCCCCGAAGTAACACCCAGGATGTCAACTGCAGCGAAGCTTACAGTCAAGAATATCCAGAGAATGAATACGAGGATCGATGCTACGATGATATGACGACGAACGAATCGATGCAATACTGCAATTATGGTTATAAAGAAAATTTTTATGACGTCAGAAATGGATACTCTTCTGATAGTTTGATTAATAATGGATAATCAGTTCTTGATTATGCGTTTTTTTAAGTTTGTGAGATTAAATAGAATTTAAAACAGCTAAATTATACCTAACAAATATCATATCGTCGAGGGAACAGCGACATGAAAAATATCTAAATTTTGAAAATTAAAATAGGTCTATGGAAAACGCTAAGTTCTACCAAGAAGTGCTTACCACACTTTATAGAGTTAAAGTATCTTTTTCGAAATATTTTATGTATATAGTACCTAATTGATTATATATGGTTGTATTGTAATTGAAGATATAAATACCTGCAAGTACTTTCAGCAAAATATTATTTAATTACGATAGCGACGCGCATCAAGCGTGTGAGCATTGCCTATTTACACTGCGTGTTGATTTAAATAATTGGACATTTAAAATTCTTAATTTTGTTCTGATATTTAAAATAAATTGGTTTTCTGAACCTTCATTTCATTTCAAATTAATAATAAACATCTATTTATAAAGCCATCGTTACTTATAATCCTTAAACGCATGATATTTCTACCTACTTACATAATATATGAATCGTCAGCGTAATCTTGAACTCATCATGCGACTTAATCAGTAAAATTAATATTAAATTCTTAGATGTCGTCCTCTAAATTAATGAATGTGAAAATACTTTGCGAACTTCAAAGTAAATTTAAAACGATTAGATGTCACAAGCGTATCATATTACTTTGTTCTGACTTGAAGAATCAGACTTTTTGTATTTGACTTTATTATGAAATTCCAGTAGCCTCCGTAACAATGTTCTCGTCAATTAGAGCATTTTAATATTCATGTCAACTGTCTAAAAGATGAGGATGACTTCTTATAAATCAAAACATCTCGTGATGCTATGCCGTGCTTCAAAGACTAGTCAGTCAGAGACGTCTTTAATTTTCATATGTATAAAACTTATGGTAGGTAGGAAAGGTAGGTACATTAAGTACCTACCTTTCCTACCTACCATAAGTTTTAGTCGTATCTACTGAAGTATTCAGTTAACATTTATAATTTAAATGCTCACAAAGAGAACCTTGGCAATTATTTAAAATCATGGATATGTAGATGTATTTTTGTGAACTAGAATTTTTATCAGAAATGAGTAAAGTGCAATTAATAAAAATTAATCACTAATTGCATATTATAATATAGTTAAGAAAACTAAAAATCATCTTTTAAAACCTAACCGTATTGAAAAGGAAAAAAGACAGACCTTTATCCAGTTGCCGGTTTCATCAAGTTTATCATCATTACAATCTAAATATTCAATACAATCTGGAATGGACACGACAAAATAAAATTAATGAATAATATTGAAAAAAAAGACAACTCCCACAATAGAAATATATTCTGTGTTGCTTTTCGTGGACTTTACAAACATACATGAAACGGACATAAAGAACACCTCAGAAGAACAATTCGTGGATCACACAAAGTCGTGTCCCATCTCGGGATCGAACCCACAACACTCATCGCAGTCGGCATGGCGACCTCTTAAACAAGTCTTTCGATACGACAATTTTATTTCAACTATCTTAATATTTTAACTTTCAAAATAGTTACAAGTTTAGCTAATATAAAAGCGCGGTAAAATAATTAGTCAAGATTAGATTACACTTAAGTAAGTAACTATTTTATAATAATACTGATAATTGTGAATCGAGGAGTAGGTTATTATAGATTTTGCATCTGCCGATTTGGTGGTGTTTCAGTTTACTCTTGCAATTGACTTTTAATGAAAGGAATGTGTTCTACCTCATGCCCTTAATGATTCACTGCATCACTTACAATTCTGATTAACCGCAAAGACATTTTAGTCATCCGAAGTAAAGTGGTAACCTGATATTTAACTAAGTAGACGTCGTCGTAAGCGACAGCGCGCCGAACCTGACAAAACAAACACAAAAATAGATTACGTCAGAAAAAAATATTTCCCTACGGAAACTACAAACCAATATAATTTTTTGGGTTCCGTATTTGATATTCTAGTAAAATTACAAACCCTGTCATATTCCGTCTATGAGAAAACTTTTAGCATTTGCACACACCGTATAGAATTTAAAAGGTTTTAAGTCCTAACAAGTTACATTTATAGTTTCGTAAAGAGACGGCCCTGTGTCTGTCCGTCCGCGGCTTAGGTTCGAGGCTGTTCGTACTGAAAAGTTGTAATGTTACTTTGGGAAAGTGATAAAATTTATTATTTTAAGGTACCTCAAAATATTTGTTGTGGGGACAACTAGATAGGTACTGTATGTTTTTATGTAATAATGACTTTATGCAATTACAGTACTAATGCCAAAGGCAATATCTGCCCGTATACCTTTAGGTATTAATTACATCACAACACTATCAAGTTTTATTTTTAGTTCTATTATATTGCCTAATCCTCCAATATTCTTCTGACTATATATATTTCGTTGTTTGTTTAAAGACTACTTAACTTTTCCTACGACTTCCCGAATGTCAAAACTCGGTGTGTTCGTGGGTCACTGCTGTACAGGACAGTGGTGGAAGGGATTAGTCCCATACACACATTAGAAACATACTTACCTACACATGCAGATATATGTATATACGCGTGTATCAATACGTATTAAAAAAAAATGAACACTCTTATATATATCAACAAATGAATAACCTATGAGCCTCTCTTTAGAAAGCACGTTCTGGCCTACTATACCACGCAGAGGCAGATTAAGTATCTAGAGCGCCTTAGGCAAACATCTCATCGGCGTCCCCACATCTCTCTCGGATGCGTCGGATTTGGGATTTCTGGTCCTCGATTTCTCTAGTCCCAGGATCCCGAACCCAGATATCTCAACGAGGACTCGGTGTCAATGCGAGTGCCTCCTACTGTGGTGCTGGCTCTCTTAGGTCAGGTCATCATACGAGGCTCATGGAAGAACAAAGTCTCAGATTTATGCCGAGACACCTCGGGATCCAACCGCCGGATCCTCACGGTGCGCCTTACCGAACGCCGCGTCGCCGTCGCCGTGTCGTCCGCGTAGCACGTGACGGCGACACCATCCAAGAAGGCGTAGCCGATGTTCCACAGAAGCGGCCCTAACTCCTACCCCTGCGGATTACCGTACGACATTTGATGCCGACCGAGTCAGAGCCCTACTTGAGTAGATGACGGTTCCAGATGCTTCCTTTCAAAAGTGCGGGCACCACTTCTTTGAAAAACTCTCAATTAGAAGACGTCCTTCCCACGAGGACGTCACCTCCTTAAGGTTGGCCTTCGTGGCGAGTGGAGGGGAAAACCCGTCAACCTGAGACCACACACAGGGTGGCATGAGGCGCTAGTAGGCGCGCCAGCCGTGGAGTGTGTAACGGCTGGTCGCGAGAAATCTTCTTGACAAGTGTTTTGACACGTGACAAGTGACAAGTGTGTGCTGAGTCAAGTTCTCACTGCAGTCGCAATGGTGACAGGCGCAACTAAGTTCACTCAATCGATTGCTGGTACTTACTTTAGCAGACGTGCCTAGAAAAAACCTGTGCCAGTCGGAAGGAAAAGGTCCTGTGCTGCCACCATGCCCACTCCACGATGACCGGCTGGAATGACCCCACGGGGCCAAAGCCAGTAGGTGAAGTCTCCAGCCGCGATGATCAACGAGTCAACGTGATAGGCTCGGCGAGTGGCCTTACGATACTCATTTCCGCCTCTAAATCCTATGGGGCAGTTCCACCACCAGTCGTAGTCACGCCTTATTCTTGGCAGTCAGAGCTTGCGCCTAAACCGGTACACCAATAGTGCCATTGACTGTACAACCTTGGTCTATTACTACAACTCATAGAGTAATTCAAACTACAGCTGCAGTTGTAGCAATTGCATTTTTGTGTACACGCACTTGCCTCAATCTTCCTAGGTATCTGAAAACGAAAGCATAGAAGTAGGCCCAATTACGTAATGATGTCAACCTTAAACATCTTTATAGAATTAAAGAATTGTTTATATCGTGTATCTGCATACTTAGCGCGCGCGCCCCTTTGTAACCTCGCGTCCATACCACCCCGACGGCCGGATTCAGGCGCCGCAAATTACTACGAGGAGGACCCGGATCATGTTATTTCAGGTCCCCACCGGATCGACGCTTAGCCTGGTAAAGCCCTATCCCGGGAAAGCTAGGCACGTGCCTACTTTGCCTTACGGATAATCCGCCAGTGATACCACGCTGGCCAGACAGGTTGCTATAGAGTTCGTTTCAAGTTTTCCTTCTCTCTGCACTGCTGTTGTACTTGTATGTGGTTATACCACATACAAGAATACTAAAATCATTAGCACATACGTATACAAAGCACATACGTATTCGACGACCGGATGGCGTGGTGGTTTGTGTAACGGACTGCTATTCCAAAGGTCGCGGGTTCAATTCCCGCTCAAGTCAAACGTTTGTGTGCATGAACATTTAATGTTTGATTTGGTCTGGGTGTTTCTATGTATAATATGTATGTATTTACAAAAAAAAAGTATATATGTATTTATATCAGTTGTCTAGTACCCATAGTACAAACTCTGCTTAGTTTAAAAAAAAAAAAAAAAAAAAGGTAGGTAACAATATTAGATGTTTATTGTTAAATGCTCTCTTAATTTGACATTAAATGAGTTACGAAATAGAATGACAATAGAGGGACAAAAATAAGGAAGATTACTTAAAGAACGAAGGCTTCTGTCGAAATTGCTACTCATTAATTGAAAATAAGAAGTTAAACATGTTAAGGAAAAATAGAAAATAGGACTGTGAGAACTCACAATTTACGGCGCTGACACATGTGCGACCACTTCATTCAGCAGAGAACAATAAGAGGACACGTAGTCATTCTCGTCTATCTAATAGTGTATCGTCACGTAGGTCTATCAAAATTATTCAGGGAGTGTGAAGATAATTATTGTTTGTTCAGTTTCAGTCAAAATTGTAGTATTGAAACTTACGACGAATAGGTATAGTACATAATATGTTAACTTTAAAGCAATTAATATATCAAACAAATTGCAATAAAGCTA